TCCGAGTTCTTCCTCAACACCTTGACAGCGTACGCCAAGGACCTCAAATTATTCCTTATGGACGGAGAGGTGCAGATGGATTGGGATTTTCAAAAACTGAGAAGATATTATTGTGGACTCATGGAGTCGCTGTTTGAGGGAATCAACCGGACGAGCGACCCAACTCGCTGGATGACGTTTGAATCTCGTAAATCGGCATTTTCTCTCATGGAAGACTGGTGTGGGTTCTCTCCCAACCAGAATGAGATCCGGGCTAGAGAAGACAATATGCGACAGAACCTAATGGATCAGCAATCCCTGGGCGAACGGGGTACGGCCACTGCGGCCATGGAAATCGAGAAACGCAACCTGAGGACTGCAGCCTTGAGTGCCATGTCTGCATTATGTGGCGGACCTATCACCTTGACGACTGAGAGTGGCGCTACGCTGCAGTTTGATATTCGCCGAATGCTTGCCTGGATTGAGGCCATTTTCAATTCGGGCAGCGACAAGATGAACGTCATTGGTAGGAGAGCTCTGAAGAATCTCGTGGTTCACAACAAAGAGTATCCGTATCTGCTGGAGCATTGCATCGCGCGTTGTTACCTAGCTGACGTTCCCAAGGTTCTTGAGAGTTACTTCATCGTCACTGTCGAAGTGCTGCAAGAACACAGCGATTACCCTTGCCCCTTCTGGAAGCTTCTTGCGCTGTGCCTGTTTATGCTGGGAAATGATCAAAGCGAGATCAGGTCCAAGTCGTCAACTGTGCTGAGGATATTGGAGACTCGACAACAAAGAAACTCCAAGATCCAAGACTTTGACATTAGCATCTCGGATAAAACTCAAGCTGTGTACAAGCTGGCCCAGTTTGAGATCTCAAAGCGACTCGCTAACCAGTATACGGAGCTCGCCTTTCATGTCATCTCCGAGTTTACCTTGTACTTCAAGGACCTTCAGCCGGCAGCGCAGCGAAATGTCGTGGCGGTTGTTTTGCCCTGGATCCAGGCCATTGAACTGACGCTGGATCCGAATGGTGGCCCTACAGCGCAGTCCTACGTGCTTTTGGCGAACTTGTTGGAAATCACAATCAAGTCAGGGGGCGCGCTGCACAACGAAGTCCAGGCCCTGTGGCAAGCCCTTGCTACTGGACCGCATCTTGGGAACGTGCGTCTCGTGCTAGACTTCATCATGCAGCTGTGCCTGGAGCGGCGCGAACAGAACTTTGTCGAGTACGCCAAACAAATTGTCGTGTTCCTTTCCACGTCCAACAGCGCTCCTGGCATCAAGGTTGTCGAGTTTCTGCTGATGCAGATCAACCCGAAAGCAATGGTCCCCATCGAAAAGAGGGAGATGTCACAGGCGCCGCCTGACACCAGCAGCCTGCCCTACTGTGCGGATTTGGCAGAGGCCCTCCCCGTGGGCACAAAGCAGGCCGGGTTTTCTCTCGGTCAGCTTTCGCTCATCTTGCTCGTGGATCTCATGGTGTCTCCAGTCCACCTTACCCAGGAGAGCGTCCCGCTTCTGCTGCATGTTGTTACCGTGCTTTGGGATCACTACACTCCGTTGGTCCAGGAGCAGGCTCGTGAGATGTTGGTGCATCTCATTCATGAATTGGTCATGTCGCGTATTGATGACCAGACGGATCCTCACCACAAGGAGTCCATAGAGGAACTGATAGATTTGGTTCGTCGGCATGACCGTTCCGTTGTGTGGAGCTACGAAGACAGCAACGGAAAAGTCAACGATCATGAGAACAAAGTCCCTCCAAGCATGGAATATCTCACAAACGAGGTCGTCAGAACCTTTGAGGTATCATTTCCTGGAATCAAAGAACAGTGGGGCAGGTTGTCGTTGACATGGGCTACATCGTGCCCGGTTAGACACTTGGCGTGTCGCTCATTCCAAATCTTCCGCTGTGTTCTCACATCCCTGGATCAGTTCATGCTTGGAGATATGCTTGCCCGCCTTTCGAACACGATTGCGGACGAGGACCCTGAAATTCAAGCATTCTCCATGGAGATTCTGACGACTCTCAAGACACTCATCGTCAAATTGGACTCTGAGAAACTCATCACCTTCCCGCAGCTGTTCTGGACCACATGCGCATGCTTGGAGTCTATCAATGAGCGTGAATTCCTCGAGGCGGTAGAGATGTTGGACGAGCTAATTGGCAAAGTCGACTTCAGAGCCCCCAATGTGAGGAGATTGATTGCAGATGGACAGCCAAGCCGGTGGGAGGGCCAGTTTGAAGGGCTCCAGCCCTTACTTCACAAGGGCTTAAGATCGTCGCTCTGCTGGCAGCCAACGCTCGATATCATGGATAAGCTCGTCATGCTCCCCGGAGATGGCCTCATTGGGGATGACAACCGACTGTTCTTTGCTTTGCTGGCCAACTTTCCACGTTTTCTGGACGAATTAGAACGCGGTGGTCTCAGCCCGGAGGCATCAAACACGGCCAAGATACTCCTCGCCGAATCCGACAGGCAGGGTCTCGAAGGCATTGCGCTTATTCTGGACGGCTTGATTTCCGACCACTTCCAAATCGCCGAAGATTTCATGAACCAGCTGTCTGGGGCACTTCGCGAGTTTTATCTGCCGCATATGGAGTTTAAGATGATTACGTTTCTGATTGGGCTGCTTACCAACTCGCTCTCCTGGGTCAAGGTTCAGACCATGCGTATCCTCTGCCTGGTTATCCCAGACATCGACATGCGCAACCCAGAAATCGCAGTCCATGGCTCTGATCTCATATCCCCGCTGTTGCGCCTTTTGCAGTCCGAATTCTGCATGGGGGCTCTCGAGGTGTTGGATAACATCATGACCATGTCTGGAAGCCACATGGATAAGCAGCATCTGAGGATGAGCATGGCTCGCTTGACATCTAGAACTGTGCGGAAAGAGTACGAGCGCGCTCAGAGCCTCTTTGGTATTCCAGAATTGTCCGGATGGGCCATTCCTGTTCCCGCTCGGAAGACGGAGGCCACAAGGGCCAACATCCACGCCGCCTTTTACATGTGCCAAAGCGCCGAGGGCTCGTCAACCGAACCCACTCCCACGGCGGAAGTTGAATTCCATTCGGAAGACTTCCCCTATGGATACTTTGATTCCTTGGATCGCTCGGAAACAATGCTGTCTGATGAGGCCCGAGTGGATGTTCACCCAGGCGATCTAGTTACCAAGCTGGATAGTCTCGACGACTTCTTTGACGAGCCCGCAAGTCCTCACACGGATGATGATGGACGCTCCTCTCTTACTATTACCGAATTTACCCCCGAGTCGTATGAGACGGGAACAGAGCTATACGACGAACAGATATTGCCAATCCTGCACGAAGCGTCGACTAACAACACTTCGTTTCAGAACGGATTTGTTGATCGACCCGCGGTGGTCTTTTCTCGGGAGCATGCCGCCAATACGATGACCCCGGGGGCATTCACGGTTGGCCGTGTCCTATCGCCCCCAACTCGCCCCGGCCTCCACGCCCGCTCCATTACATCGCCTTCCGCGCCGTCGTCTCATTACCCGCATGATTTTACATCTGACGACGAACTGGTCATGGGCGGCTTTTCAGACGCAGATGACGAGAGAATCGATCTGGGAAGCATGGACGACGCCTCGTTCTCGCTGGGGAGCAACAGGCAGGGCGCTCCGCAGCCAAACTTTTTGCGCCTCACGAGCAGATCTCGGGAGCGGCAGAGAGATAAAGCGCCGCCGCAGCCTGTTCCCAAGATGTCGAGCAAGTTATACGTGACGAATATACCTGGACAAGGCGACGTTATATAAAAAGAAAAAAAAAATTTACCGATTGAAAAAAAGAAGAAACAAAAGCTATATAGAGGTGTTTTCCCTTGATTCATATTTCTTTTTCTTCATTCTTTTTCTAATTTTACGAAATGTTATGAGGCATGTGGGAGTTTGAGATGAGATGTTACTGAAAATGGGAAATAGATGGACATGAACCTGTATGAGTCACTGACAAGCAAATAATACCCCTTTGGCAGTTGTTATGAAAATTAGGAAAAGGATGGAGAAAAAAAAAGAAGGGCGATGGTACATGGTCATGAGGATGGGGTGGGGAGTTGAAAATCGGGGGTTGTTGGAGGGAGTTGGATGTGTTGGACGCAGATAGCAGTTTATTTTCTCTAAATGTGAAAATGGTAATGGTATTGGGCTTTGAGTTGATTTTGGCCATTGTGACGAGCTTTTAGAAGCTGATAATGGTATATATATATATACTTGTTCTTATGTGCGGAGTGAAGCGTGCATCTATTGGCTTCGTTAGAGAGCAGTGATGTTAATCATTAGAAAGCACTATTACTTGCTATGCAGCTTTCCAAGTATATACCGAGATACTACATCGTAAAGAAAGATTCCATGACCATTTTGAGACATGTATTCAAACATCAAGTCGGTAGAATCAAGAAGATGTATAGACAAATGCATTGATACAGGGTAACTGATACGGAATGGCCAACAAGCGTCCGAATCCAGCTGCCCGACCTCTCCAGTTCACAATAGCAGATGTATTTTACATGCAGTTTGACATGTTGCCTTTTAGTACAGAGTAGTAAGAGTAGAAACCACGGCGATGACAGAAAAATGGCAGCAGAAGTATTCACGGTGACCGTTGCAAGCCTTGATATAGAGAAAGATGAAGCACGTGACCGCAAGTGGGCATATAGGTTGGTTGGAATATGCACTTCTAGCACAACTCTATTACATACCTTAGAAAGTCGTGCAATTCAATCAACTCATCCATAAACACCAAAGCAAAAGACATCACATACGGGTTATTCAATTCCCTCCGCCCATCTCTCATCTCGACTCGACATTTCGGTGAACATCATATCCAATTCGACCGAGGGCTGTGCCAGTTCCAGAAACAAAATCCGAACCGCGCGGGGCAGCACAAAAAGTTGCGCTTATACGCCCAGCCCGGTGACGTTTTTTGCGTCATAAGAAGATGCGATATAACAAGACTCGTTATTCTCATCTCATCTCGTAAAAAAACACATCATCAAATGGCTTCGGCACTCAAAGACAAGGACGAAATGGAGTCGGCAATCTCAAAGCTCGCCATTGACTCGGCAAAAGCGACGGCATCCAAAGGCAAAGGCAAGGCCAAGAAGCAGCCCGTGGCGGACTCGTGGGAAGACGAGGACGTGTCCGACGAGGAAGACACAGACAAGGACGCGGAAGCGGAAGCAGGCACATCAACACCATCGTCACTCGCCACGCCCGCCGTCCCGCCGCCAACGCCCGCCTCGCCGCTAGGCTACGACTCGCCTCGCGAATGGGCGTCTCTCGGCAGCCAGAGCCAAAGCCAGAATCAAAGTCAAAGTCAAAGCCAGAGTCAAAGCCAGAGTCAAAGTCAGAGCCCGATGGCGACGTCGGCGTCGGGCAGCGGAGCCGGGACGCCCGCCAAGAGGCCGGAGAAGACGGACGCCGTGGCCAGGCGCATGATTGCGGCGGGCCTGGGGCTCAAGGCGCCGCGGCAGACGGAGGAGCAGCGGGCGTACCAGCGGTCGGTGCGGGAGCAGGAGAAGAAGCGGCGGGATGCGGAGAGGGCCGAGGAGGAGAGGCAGCGGGAGTTGGCGGACAAGGCGAAGGCGGCCGTGTGGGATGATTGAGTGTACCGATAGATGAACCTTTTTTTGTTTTGTTTTGGTGTAGTTTTCTTGAAGATGCTGGCGTGAAATGGTGATTGCTTATAACCAAGCAGAGGGTATTGCTTCAATCTACGGGGGGTTTCACTTTTCCCCTACTCCAAAGAAAAAAGAAGGGGGAGGCTCGACAAATGCCAGCGGGAGCGTAGCCTTGAACCTGAACTGGCTTCAACATCGTGTGTCTCAACCCGTGAAGCCCTCCCCAACTCCAACACCTCACGAGCTCTTCAAACAAACGGCAGCGGCTCTCCATTCTTAACAAGAACAACCTCGCCCCTCTCCCTCTCCCTCTCCCTCTCCCTCTCCCCTCCCCTCCTCAGCGCAACATCAACGCCCTCCAACCCTCCCTCCTCCGCCCTCTGGTTCCAAAGCATCTGCCTCACCACCCCGTCCTCCCCCCCGCAGCAGAAATACCCCATCGGCATCCCCGCCCTACCGAGAGCATCCCGCATGCCCTTGGTCGCAGTCTTCTCCGCCACCAGCAAGCCCAGCACGCCCTGGCCCCTCCAGCCGGGCGGCGCCCCGGCGAAGGATCCCTCCAGCTCCCGGATCATGTGCGGGCCTACCCGCTGGATCCCGCCTTTGCACTGCACCAGGACCTTGATCGACGGGCTCGTTGTCACCTTGATCGCTGGGTTTGGTGATGACGGCACCGTCCACTCGCCCACCAGGTCGACCCCAAAGTCCGACGCGCCGCCTATCCTGCGCAGCGAGAAGCCGTACCGCGCCAGACGCTCCGCCACGAGGTACTCGTACCGCGTCCCCGTGAACAAGGGCGATTTCTCGTCCAGCCCACGCCGCCTCGCGTCCTCGAGAAACGACTCGAGATCCGAGTGCTGGGGCGTCAGCGGAGAGGAGGAGGAGGAAGAGTTCTGCTGTTTCTGCTTGGACTCTGTAGATGTTGTTGCACTTGCAAACCCACCAACGGCGGGAATCATACGGGGTACTTGTGCGGTAACATGGTTGCGGATGATGCCTGTGACATGAAAGAGTGTGCCATAACGTGGCATTGTCCGTCTTGGAATGAAAAGGGCCGAGGTTGATGTTCGGTCTCGTAGCCTCTGAGAGAGGTTGACGTTAGATTGAGACTGATATTCAGTAAACGGGGCGTATCCCACCAAGACCGCTTATTGGAATATAGACGGCTGCAGCGAGCATCACGACCGTTCAAAGATTTTACACATATAACTTTAGTTTTGTCCAAATGTTTGAATCGATTTCATTGTATTTAGCTACTGAAGCTTAAAGATACTTTTCATCTTCTGCATTAATGGAAAGCCAACATATGCTTGATACATGCAGGTCAAGGCGTACAGTAAAGTGTAAGGTAGTTGAGTGTACACGTGCTTTTGAAAAAGTCACAGAATGGAGAGCGCAGCGTCAGAATAACAACTACTCACCTAACCGCATGGACAATATGAAAAGGGGAAAAAGAACCAGTAATCAGTAATCTATGCCGAAAAATATAATCCGCCCAACCGAGAAGAGCTTTGAAGAGGACTCGATCCTGTGTCTTCTAGTGTTCCAACGTCCAATATCACCTGGGATGGGTGTGGGGTCATGACGAATAAGGATAGAGAATAGAAAATAAAACGTAGGTGAATATGATGTACATGTTCTGAAGCAAATGACCGCAAAGACACTGTTCAATCTTGCGCGGAGAGCGGAACGACGGGTAAATCTCATTGCTCAGTCCGTCTGCCGAGGCTTTACGCCTAGGCCACGCAGGCGCTGAGAGAGCAGTCCCTCAGGAGCATTTCCGGGAGAGCTGCTAGCAGCCGAGCGACTGAAGGCGTTTCCTCCGTAGCCGGTGTCGCCTCTGTTGAGCTTCTCATATTGCGATGGGCCCCAGGTGTCAACGCCTCCCGAGTCGTTGGTGGACGGGCGGTTGTTGGCCAGAGAAGACGAACCGTTGAGCGAACCATGTTCCACGGCGGCTCCATCAGAGCCACCATTGGTCTCGTTGCCAGCGGCGTCTGGCTGCGGAAGACGCAGGGGGATGAGTTCCATGGGAGTGACGCTGCCGCGACCAGAGCTGGGTGACGGAGCCGTCATTGGCATTTCCTCCGGAGATGCAAGGCCGTCCATACCATCAAAGGCCGACGTGTTGCTGCTCATGAAGACGCCCAGGCTGCGCCGCCGCAAGGCCTTTTCACTGGCCAACATGGCTCCCGCGCCAGTAGAAGTCGAAAGGGGAGGATTCATGACACGGATGGGCTTGTAGGGAGAGAAGCGCGGTTCGGGCAACGTTGTTTCGTTACGCAACTTTTCCTTGCCGTCAGGCACCCGGTTTGCGAAAACGATGCGGATGCTCTTGTACAGGTAAAAGCGCCCCTTGGCGGGCGAGCAAATGTGCAAGTGAACGAGATATCGGAGAATGGGGCGGTCGCCGTCCGCTTGGGACATGTTTGGTATATTATCAATTATGGGGCCAGCAGAATAACTGCGCTGGCGGATAAAAGTCTTGGTTCCCGGCATCATGCCGGACAAGTCATATGGCACTAGGAAGAGCTTGACTGCTGTCTTGTTTGGGTTCTTGATGACGATTTGAATCTGCCCTGTTTCAGGGATTCTATAGCTTCCTCCCGGGGGCGCCCTCGGAGAAGCCGGTAGGCGCTTGGACTTGGCAGCCTTGTGCCGTTCTCGATCCGCCTCCGAATCTTGGACACTCAACCCGGCTGTTTCGCTGCCGGCTCGCTGCTTTCTGTCACTGTACCGGCTCTGTGCCTTTCTTCGCGACCTCGACTCCTCTTCGGGGTTGGAAAGTCCGTTCTCCAAGTCAATCTGGCCGACGTATGGGCTCGGGCCGTCGTCAAGGAGCGACCTCCCATGGGGAGCACCGCCATAGCTATAGTAGACGGCAGGGAAGGGGAGAGTTACGTGCCGCGGGCATCTGAGGCTGGATTTGCAGTTGCCCTTTCCCATTACGCCAATCTGGGCGAGGAACTCAAATGGCTTTGATGGTGTTGTTGACATGCGGCCACGCAGAATGCTCTCTTCGTATGAACCAACCATGGAGGCGTGCTGGATGGGCGACGTGTCTGGGCCAAAGGATTGTCGTCGAGAGCGCAGCAAAGCCGGCGTTTGAGGAGAGGAGAAGGGATGGTGACTGTGGGGGAAACTAGGGGTGGAAGTCAAAGAACGGCGAGGCTGGTGGGCTTGATATGGCAGGGCACCCTCTCGTCGTGGCGGAAATCGTGACTGTGGCCGCTGCCTTGAGGGAGGGAGAAATGGCGAAGAATGAACCGAGTTGAGTTGGTGTCGCCACGTTGACTTGTGTTTCATGGAGGGAAAGTCGGGAGGCGTAGAGAAGTCGACATCTTCATTCGTCTCAGACTGGGCGAGGGGACTAGTCGGAGGTTGATACGCGAAGTTGGACAGCGATGTTGATAAAGGAGAGGTATCCGACTTGAAGCCATCGGCGGCCTCAATTTCTAGAGGATGTCCTCTCCTACCATGGGTCCTCGCTCCGTAGGGGAATGGCGTAAAGTGTCTAGGTGGTGAGGTTGCGAACCAAGCATGATCGGACGTCATTCGTCCTTGGGCACCGGCCCTGCCCGAGTCGCCGTGATGCCCATTCTCAGATGCTGTTCCGTCGCTCGTGAAATCGCCGCTGTGAAAGGCTGATCTCGGTCGTTCGATGCTCAGCCCATCTCGCAGTCTCGCATCGGCCGACTCTGGCAACTTGGTTTTGTCCGGCGTAATCGGCGCTGGCGGCAGGAGATTGGGCGATTCGGGTGAGGTTCTACCTTGCTCCTGGGCGCCATGGGACTGCTCATGCTGAAGAATCGACTCAAGCTAGAGGGGCTCTGGTTAGTAAGAAGCACAAAAAGAATCTCTAGAGACATGTGCTCTGCTTGGGCTTACATGGCGGTTGGGGACCCAAGTTGGGCTCTCTCCCCGTTTCAACCTCTCTATCAGCTCGGCCCTATCCGAGATCCTGTTCTCCTCGTCGCCCTTTGCTGGTGATGAATGCATAGGGCTATCGGGAACCGGCCCTTCGCAGAGTTCGGTTCGCAGACTCTCCTCGGACAAGCGACGGCTCCTCGAGGGTGCCGGCTCAATAGCGATGGGGCTGGAGGCCGGCGATTCATGATGAATGTCGTCTTGGAAGATGGGCATTTGCGGCCGATTTTATGGCGGTGGTTCCGCAGCAGCTCCAAAGCAGCTGGAAATTACCGGATCATGAGAAGAAGAAAGCATGAGCATCGAAAATTTCAGCCGCCGGGATGATGGACGCAGCCGCGGCCGGAAACGTCAACATCGGAACCGATCTACTGGCCGGGCTGTTCATCCAAGCGGGACGCTGTGCTGGTCTCGTGGTAGGTAGGGAAGATGCGGGCGGAAAAGCTGAGCTACGGGGGTGTCTTGCTTCGGTTGCTGCACGTGTGGCAAGGGTCGCTGCAGGTAGACGAGGGCAGCGTTGCGTTCGGTTGGGGTGAGTAGTACTCGTAAGTAGAAATGCTTCGGCTTGGATGGACAAGGGATTGAAGTTTCTTGTGTTTACTCAGTACTGCCGGGGTGTCGTTGGGCGGTGAATCACGCAAACATTACGTCGGAGCCCAAAGGACCGTGAAATGCCGATAGCGGGACATGGGATAGCGCAGGTTAGTGGAGTTTGGGGGATCATTTACAGGCCATGGTTGCATGCATGCGCCTAAGACAAGGTGCATTGATCCATTGATGGATTTGAGATGAGATGATACTGAGCACGTTGTGGTTGATGGCAATCAAATGCCTCTACAAGGCCTCTCTATGACGATGATTCTGTAAGTCGTGGGAATGTATCTACATCATAGGCCTTGTTCCAGCTAAACTTAGAAATACTTGAAAATGAAATCATATTCATACTGTAAATGTTCGTCAACACGCCCTTTTGTCTCACCATGAATGTCGTCGCATGAACTTGCATCTGGGTCCATCTGTTGATCAGGTACTTGGCCCAGCAGAGGCGCACGCAGCCGCCAGCTTGTACTCGTGCAAGTACAGCGGGCTTCAGCACCCCCACCTGCCGGCAGTGCCGCTGGAATAGCCAGATGGTGCACTGTTCCGGCGTGTCTTTCAGTGCTCACCTGTGAGGGGCACCCGATTATGGCGCTATACTCGCGCTGACCCCACTGCCCAGCACCAAAAGGGCTAGCCGCCTGCTCTCACCTCGCGCCTCACCGGCATCTCGCTTTTGCTCCAAAAAAAAGCAGTGCCGGGCATTAAGAAAAAACAAGGCAAAGGCGATATTGATTCATCTTGACGAGCCTAATGGCCCCCAAAGGAACATCTGAGGGCGCGGGCACCACGTCAGAAGCCCCCAAGAAGAAGCACGGCTTCAGAGTCGGACCCGAGAATCTACCAGACGGGCCATGGCGTCGCAAAGGTAACGTTGAAATTTTTTCCCCAAGTTTTTTTACATCTCACTTCACATGACCATGGTTCGAGCTCAAACAATGAAACTCACATGATTTTTTGTATATAGTCGATCAGAAGAAGCGTGATTTGATTCACAGAGCCAAGGTCAAGAAGCAATACGCCAAGATCAAGGCTGCGGAGGAAGCCAAAGCCCGGCCCAGCCACGGTGATGATGAGGATGACGGCGAGGATGGAGTGAACTCGGCACAAGGCGACGCCCAGGAGGACAATGAAGAGGAAGGAGAGAAGATGCATCCCACAAGGCAGCTCATGATCAAGGATGAAGACATGGCACAGGTGGGAGTGGATGCGTCCGGCCCCGGTGACGGCCACAGGCGGAGGACTCGACGCCCAGGCTACTACGACAAGCAGCTGAAGAAGGCTGAAGACCGCCGTCAAGAGGCCGACGCCAAGAGAAAAGAGTATGAGCGACGGATGGAGGAGCGAGCACAGAAACAGGCTGAGCGGGAGAGGTTTAAAAGGGCCATGGCCAAGACGAGGGACAAGGACGGCAAGAAAAAGCTGGGCAGGGAGAGTTCATTGTTGTTGGAAAAGGTCAAGAGGCTTGTTGCTCAGAAATGAGACGGCAGGTTGGAGTTTTGCATTGTTCATGTTTTGTTACGATTGATACCTTTGGCATGTCAGATTTGGCGATTGCACCCCACGGTAATAATGGAGCAAGGGAATGAAGCCTTTTGATATCAAGTTGAACGGGTAAAGCAGGCACGGGATTGCATGGTGCTCTTTACAAAGACCCATATTGCGAAAATCGCGGATCAAACTCATCAGCTCAAATGAAGAGACACAAGGAAAGAGCCTTGTACGATATAGCAAACACCAATATTGATTGATCAATCCAATTGAAACACCGGACAGAGCGAGACATAGAGTTGCCTAGTAGAAGCACAACCTATTAATCACAATACTGCCTAGCAGGATATGCAGCAGACATACGAGTAAGAAGCATAGCAGGGCTCTGACGGCAGATCGACAGCTCGACAAGGGTCGGGTACACCGTACATGTCATGGGTGAGTCTCGCACGTCTGCTGGAAAGCTCTGGCTCACGTTGTCTGCATCCTCCATGGCTGGGTGGGCTGAGACAATGATCGGGCTGTGATACTTGAAACCCCTGGTAGACTTTACGCATTTTACTTTGTTCAGCTGGGCGCCGAGGGCAGTGTAGAAAAGTTTTGAAAAGGCCACGACGAAGCATGAAGCAGCACTTGGCTGACCATGTTACTGTTAGAAAGACTTGGACAAGGTTGTGGCACATTTAGTAGACGTGGGCTGCGACAAGGTACGGATTGGGAAGCTGGCTCGGCCAATTGATGGGGGTTTGCCATTTACATGAGGCGCCCTGTTGGAGTTGTTTTGTCTGGCGGTAAAGACTGCCGTCTTTGGGATGTGAATGCGAGTGTGACGAGTGAATTGGGCTGTTACTCGATGCATTTACTCGGTCTATCAGGTATGTTGTTGGTACTGCGTTTTGAAGCAAGGAAATTCAAGGAAACATGAAGCCACCATCCCCACGGAGAGATGAAGCATATACGAGTACTGGTAGGATTTAGTGCATCAAGGAGAACTCTAGCCTAGTGTTTGACTGTGTTAAATAAGAATGTCACTCAGACGCGGAACAGCCGGGTGCTCATTTCAATGCCATGGGATCCGACATCAACTGTATGTATTTTGTGTGAAGCAACCAACGGCCCAAATTCTCATCCATCACCTCACACTTGGATTATCAAAGCCTGTATCCCACGCAAAGAGGCAAAGAAAGAGCCGTGCCGTCCTGTTTCGTCCTAGGAGCTGGAAATGCCCAATCAAGGTGAAACACGGCCTTAGTGGAGAGAAGGGGTCAAAAGTCATGCCGTGAAACACACGCGGGATGATGACTAAGGAGCCTGGAATGTGGCGGCGTCGAGAACAAGTCGAAGTTATTGGGCAAGGGAAAAAGAAACAAGAAAGAAAGAAAAGTCGCCGGCAAAGATGAAACGGGCAAGGGCTGGATTGCAACGACGAAATTGGGTTCGCATGGCACAAAACATCACTCTCGAGTCAAGAGGCGTGTCATGGGTGGAATCATTCGAGCCCATCCCCACGGCTTGTTTTGGCGGTGGGATCCCCCCTGGTCCGGTCGTGTTAGTCTCGCATGCACGGAGGACTGACTGTACGAGTACCTACTAAAGGGAATCGAATGTACGAATAGGTACTAACGTAGGTAGAGATAAAGACACATGTGTATAGAGACAAAAGAGGCAAGTTTCGAGGACCCCCCCTGGACGATTTGAATGAGGAAGACCACGGTGGTCCACGGAGTAGTAGGTATCAAGTCAGTCCTGGTCAGGCAGTGTGCGACTGTTGTTGGAAAAGTCTTCGTGCTACCATCCTTCAAAAGCTTGCAGGTTACCTCTGGCCCCGTTTGTCGACGGATGTTCCGCTGCAGATGTGGGAATAGGTGTTACGCAGATTGTAATTGATATTGATGGGCATTCTCATTCGATGGGGGCTCGTACAAGTAGGTTTGGCTCAGCTGAATAAAGGAGAGCCATGCAGTTTTTTCTGTAACACATCAATTTGGCAGAATGATTGCATGCTCAAGTATTCGCATGTACATGTACTCCATACTACTACACAACATCAAAACCATCGGCAAAACTCTCAAGGCCGGATTGGTTTCAGCATTGTTCGAGCGGCATCGACTCAACTGAGCAAATCGTGCGAGGCGGTCGATCCCTCAGACAGCGCCAAGGCAGGCCGCTACACCCGCTGCAGCTTAGGACTGGACTCATGGCCAACAGAGGCGTTTGGGAGTTGAGGCGGTTAAGCGGCTGCTACTCCAAGAGCGTTGAATTGCTCCAAGAGAGACCAACAAGCTCCCTTCATTTCGGGTCTGTGTACGTTGTTGGTACCTTGGCAGGTACTCGTCCGTCTGAAGTCTAGAAATAGGTACCGTGTCTTGGTGCAAACGGAGTACTCCGCTGTAAGGCGATATCCATGTCAGCAAATTGCCTCTAACTGCACGGAGTAGTGCTTTAGTAATTGCCCAGAACCGTATCCTCCAGGTAACCAATGTGAGGTGGATGGATTGATGTGCCTTGTTCCATCTTCTGCAACGTGCTGCCTCATGGAGCTGCACAGTCAAAGTTTCATGTTTTAGCTGGATCCCGGCCCTCCAAAATTCATGTACGAGTACATGATTGAGGTGACGGACAAGGAGAAATAAGGAGCAGCCCGCCTCCCTTGTGGACGTCCAGGTACGAGTCCATGTGTGCAATGGATCAATGGGTTGATGCCCATCAATGTTCCTGAAGAGCAGCCCCTGACCTTGCCTTGGCCTTTGCAGTCCACTGCAGTTGGACAAGCTGCGCCCCGTCTCCTGCCAGGTACTGGTACCAATACTTAGTACCTATGTAACCTGAACCTAAAAAGTCCATCCATCCGACAGTGACTGCGAATTGAAGACTTCAATGCACCCAAAAGACAGCATAGACACTCCGTAGTGCGACCAACTCCTTATTGCTGCTGTCCAGCATTGCCCTGATCCAAGTTTTTTTCAAGCTGATGCCAAGTACAGCTTAGGTGGCTGAGGATGTTGGGCGGTCGAGTTTTGGTGGGCACAGGGGACCACTCGCATGCAGCTGCTGGATATCGGGCCATGTACCTGTACCTGTTGGGATCAATGAAGGGCTCTCAGCTCAAGCACTGCAGGTACTCGCACAGGCAATCCCTTCAATACATGTCTGGTACATTCCAAACATCGGCATGTGGTTGCCGTCGTCAATAGAAGCACGCACATGCAATAACTGCATCTACAGCAAAACTCAATCCCGAGCAGCAAACACAATCAATCTCACGGCCCGACCAATCACCACGCATCGTCGCAAATCTTCATCACCTTCACCATCACCATCACGCGCATGCTGGTTTGCGTGGCTTGACGCTAATCATGTGCTAAAGAGCCCTTTGGTCATGAAATCTGCACCGTCTAATTTTAGGTACATGTACTTACCATCTTAACAAGCAATGGCGCAAACTGCTGGACAATGTACCTGTCCCGTACCTGTTTTAGGGGACCACGGGGGGGGAGGGCCCTCTAATCCTCTAACCCTCACTGGGGACTGCTCTATGGGGGGTCCTCCATTATTTTTTTGGGGGGGTCCCTTTGGCGTGGCAGTCCCTGGTACCTGCTTCTACCAGTACAGGCGGCCAGCACATCCCCTCCCCGTGGCCATCCTGGACTGGACTGGACTGGACTGGAGCATCTTCTCTCCATCTCGCCGCCTCTCCTCCGCCGCTCTTCTCTTCTCTCGATCCTTCTTTGCTCAGCTCGGCTCGGCTCTGCTACAGCTCGACGCATCTCGCCTTGGACACTCGCTGTCCCGCTGGTGCCTCGACCCCTTGTCTTGCAGCAACGACTGCATTGCTCTGTGTAGCACCGGCCCCAGCTGTCCGCGATTTGCTGCGAGAGCTTGCGCCAAAGACGCCTCCCCTCTGCTCTGCTCTGCTCTGGCCACGACGAGACGACGAGACGACAGCCTGGACTGGCCCAGATTGCTCCCTGTGTATCGCCATCGATGCCTGTCCTACGCAGCCCGTAGCCGTCAAACCTGCCCGCCTCCAACACTCCGGCCCTCGACGTTTTGCTGACGAGGCGTCGGACACCGCACCGCCTGCGAGCTCGCGCACATATACAAACTCGACCTGTATATATATACATACATATATAACGCTGCCCTGACATACTCTGGGCTGCGCCATCCTCCCCCTTTCAACCCTCTCTGTCCACTCTCTAGCCCATCATGGCTTCCGCTATCGTGGACGAGTACTTGGAGACGCCGATGGAGGCTGACGATGCGTTCCCCTGTAAGGGCTGTGGTGAGGTTTGTAATGCCACCCGCGCTGCGAGACATGCTCCCCGGCTTGTGGCTTCGACTAACGGCGCTCGCCCTTTAGATACTAGAAGAAGGCAAAGCTTTTGAGTTGGGTAAGTTTCGTTTGCTCTATTTTGGGAAGAGGGACAAGCTGTTTCAAAGTTGCTGGAGACCGCGGTGCAGCCTCGACGGGACCCTGTTGTTTCTTGACCGCCACACAACTTGTGACATGACCCTATGTTGATTGGATCTTTTCTTCTTCTGCGTGTGAGAGTGTGTCTGCGTACTAACATCACGTCTTGCCAGCTGGCAACCGATGGCATCTCGACTGCTTCCGTTGCACCTCGTGCGGTTCTCTCCTCGACTCCGATGCCAACCTTCTCCTGCTCGGCGATGGCTCCCTCATCTGCAATAACTGCACATACAGCTGCACTGCGTGTGGCAACAAGATCGAGGACCTGGCCATCCTGACAGGTGATCAGGCCTTCTGCTCGACATGTTTCCGCTGCCGAAACTGCAAGCGCAAGATCGAAAACCTGCGTTATGCGAGGACGTCTCAGGGCATTTTCTGCATGGACTGCTACGAGACTTTGATGGCTAGGAGAAGAAAGAAATCCAAAGCGGCCGCGGCAGCAAAAGCTCGAGAGAAAGAACAAGCACCCACGGTGCCGGAAAAGTCTCTTCCGGCCCTCCCACCCGGTGCGATTCCGAACAATGCCTTCTCCGACGACCGTGTCGACCCCGAAGGGCCCACGGAGTTGTCTCCGCGGCCTCGCACTGGCCACCGACACAACGAGTCGTCGTCTAGGGGCGGTTCCAAGGCCTCGCGCTCTCCAGAGCGTGCAGCTGCTGATGCCACCAAGGACGGCCTCAACCTCCCCTCGACTACATACCGCAGAAACCGCAACTCGACCATCACTTCCAACAACGGTGATGGCGGCGACGGCTTCTTGATATCCGTGGCTCTTGATACGAGCCCATCGCCCAATGGCAAGGAGAGCACTGGTGAGGCCGGCAAGAAAAAGGACAAGGACCACATCAGACCGACCATGACTGACAAGCGCGCCGACTCGCACTCTTCCGCTACTCACATTGCCTTCCTGGGCGCCGCCGCAGCTCCCGACCCTTCGCAGACCAAGTCTTCGTCTCGTTCTACTTCCAAGTCGGACCAGGCCAAGGCATCCGCCGATGAGGCCCCGAGGAAGAGAAGGCCTACAGAATCGCGGAGTGACAGCTCGCAATCCGTCCCTCAGCAGCAGGAAACCCCCAGTCGAACTGGGACCAGTACTCCGCGCAAAGACAGCACCTCGCAGCCTGATTCGCGAAGGGCCATGGACAATACCCCCGGATCGCGAAGCTCCTACGATTCTAAGACGCAAGACGAAGCTGATCCCAGCGCACCAAAGATTGGGCCACGCTCTGACAGCGTCAAGAGCATTCCGCGAAAGGAGGTTCCGTCGGCACCTACCCGTCCTGGTATTACCCTCCCCCTCCACCCCCCCGTCATATCTACTGCGCAATGGATTCACGTTCGTTTCACTAACAAATCCATCCAGTCAATGGCAGCCCAAGTGCCGCGCAGGGCAAATCTTCCACTTCTGAAGATGCCACCGTCTCGACCCCACGCCAGAGCCCTCCCTCTCGGTCTGGTGCAGCTGACAAGCCCTTGACTGACACCTACATGCAGCCCAGAGCGGCTCCTGTGCCCCCAAGCATCCAAGCACAGACTCCGCCCAAGGAAGGCACGCCGGCAGCCAAGAGCTCTCACGCCTCACCTACTTCGCCGAAGCTTCCTAGGTGGAGCAGCGGCGCAGATTTCACCATGGAGGAGGACATGGTCAGGATCCTTGGCTCTGATGAGGGCTCGTCATCTATCCTTAGACGCGTCTCCAACGCTGTCCGCCACGGCCGTACAAGCAGCGTCGAGTCCAGCCAAAACCATGCCGCCTCTCGAGGCTCCCACACCCGAAGCATCAGCGAGACGACGCGTGGTGCTATCTCGCCTCGCTGGCCCAAGACGCAAGACGATGCAAACGGCCAGGAAGGTGGCAGCCCTGATTTGCTCCCACCTCCGGACACCGCCGCCGTGCTCAAGCAACAGCTCAGATCTTCTGAGCTGCGAGTGGCCGAGTTGGAGAGGCAGTTTGGCGCCGAGAAAGATCTGCTCAACATCAACCAGAAGCTCATTGAAAAGAGAAAGACGGTTTCCGTGCTGGACACTCAGACTGAGATTATGATTCGACAGCTTGAGGTCCTGGCTGGATATGTTGAGCGGGCAAAGGAGACACAGGCTCCTCTCAACGTCCAAGAGCTAGAGGAATCCGCCATCAAGGAGTTCGTCGAAAAGCTCGAAAAGGTCAAGCAGTCCTTTACCGAGGAGCTCGAACGCCTGCATGAGGAGCGTGATCAGCTTCTTGAAGAGAAGAACCAGGCCGTTACGGACCGGGACCGTGCGCTCATGGAGTTTGAGCAGCTGTCCTCCAAGAACGCTCAGCTTGCAGACATGAACAACGATCTCACGCACCAGATTCAGGAACGCTTCAAGTCCCAGATTGGCGACGGCAAGTCGAACGGCTTGGGCATCTACAGCCAGCACAAGGGCGCTTCGTCCATCAACCTCGACAGTGCAAGCGTCACTACCGGCACCACCCTTATCGCCGACGAGGACCCAACCATTGTCGAGCACGGGCCTACTGTGGTTCATGTCAGAAAAGGCCAAGTCAAGAAATTCAACTGGAAGAAGGGCTCCAAGACCATGGCACAGAACATTACAAAGGGTGTCGGCCGTGCTGTCGTTGCTTTCCAGAACGATCGCGAGAGAATGCAAATGCAGCAGCAAGGCTTGGCTAGCGACAGCATCGGCCTGCCGTACAACATGACTGTGGCCCAAGGAGAGTCCGCCAACCCGCCGTCGGCCAACCCTCCGGCTGGGCGACAGCACCAACAACAGTTTTCTCTCTTTGGCAAGAAGAATGTAGCTGCCAAGGGCGGGCCAGCTGCCCAGGCCAATATTGTGGTGGCGCAAGCAGCTCCAGAGCCTGCATCGACGCTGTTCGGATCCGAACTCGCAGAGAGATGTGACTACGAGCATCGCCAGATCCCTAGTGTGGTGACTCGATGCATCGAAGAGGTGGAGCTGCGAGGCATGGACCAGGAGGGTATCTACCGAAAGACTGGCGGCAACTCTCAAATCAACCAAATCAAGGATGGCTTCGACAAGGACGAGGACTATGACATCTCAGACCCTGACATGGACATTACTGCCGTCACGAGTGTCCTGAAGCAGTACTTCCGAAAGTTGCCCAACCCTCTACTGACCTTTGATGTCTATGAGAAAGTTTTGGAGTCTAATGGTGAGTTTTTTTTTATCCATCTTGTTCCGTTCTAACGGCACACATTTTCCCAATCGCGTATTCTAACCCTTTATGCAATAGCTATTACCGACGAGGCCGAACGGTGCTCTCATCTTCACAAGGTCTTTACATCGATGCCCCAGGCCCACCGGGACTGTCTAGAATTCCTCATGTTCCACCTTCATCGCGTGGCAATCAGAGAGCCTGAGAACTTGGTTAGTCTTGATCCTCTGTACATTTCATCATCTGCTCACTCTAACCTCCGTATCAGATGTCGCCCAAGAACTTGGCCGTCGTGTTTGCTCCAACCATTATGCGGGATCTCAGCATTGAGCGTGAAATGACCGACATGCACAACAAGAACCTCGCCATTCAGTTTGTCATTGAAAACACTCACAGAATCTTCCAGGATGAATAAGCATCCCATACATGCACTTGACAATGGCCCTTTCCAATGTTGTTTGGTTATGATGTAGGCTTTTGGGGCTTTGATGGCCGCTGTTGTTGAGCCTACAGCTTCCGGGCGGTTTCTTTTTTTCTCGTCACGATTTCGATCCCCCTTGCTTTTGGGTTTGTCGTTTTTTTTAGCGAGACAAAGTTTTGCGGCGTTTTTGTGCTTGGCCATGAAAAGTAATGTCGGCTTTTTTTTCTGACTGGCTTTGATCAAGACCGAGATTGCAGTTGACGGGGGAGGGATACAATCTTCCCCCATACACTGCTTGATGGTAGTGTTGTTTTGTGTCTAACCCGCCCTATGCTGAACCTTTTGTTTTTCCTGGGCGGCATGAAGTTTTGATGTATCTCAACTTTTTTTTTTTTTCGTTCGAGCTGGTTTCGTATGGCTTGATGAAAGAGGCTGATGCTTGGTTTTACCTTTTTTTTTTTTTTTTTTTTTCTAAATCCTTCAGCTCATGACTTTTTTCTCTTAACTTTTTCGAATCTTGTTTTTGGTCGCATTTTGTCAGCATCGTTGAAGAAGAGTTTTTTTTTTTGACGCGAAAGAGAAACGGAGGAGAGGAGCTGTCTAGGAATGGATGGCTTTTTTTCGTTGCTGTTTGTTTCTTTCATACCCCTTACCCCCCCTATCATTATATAGCTACGATTTATATTTGGACTGAGCAAGGCAGGCGGGCGGGCATGAAATGGTTGAAATGGGTCGAGTTGATGCTTAGCATGATGAGTGAGTGAGAGAAAAGAAGAATATGAAAGTTTAATGAATTTCTTTGCTACTTTGATTTTGCCCCCCCTCGCTTCTTGATTCAAGTTTTCGGCATCGTTATTGATTTTGTTGATGCATGTGAATGTCACAGAGTAAACATGAGTTGTGAGAATATAAATTTTCCAAGATTACAAAACAGCGTAACTGATAAAACCGCGGTGCCTGCCTGCCTAACTTGACAAAAAAATGTGTAAACAAATAAATACATGTACTTTGGAACTGATGCGGAAAACCACCAGGGCCGTCCAAACAAGGGGGGCCCTTTTTTCACAAGGAAAAAAAAAAAAGAAGTGAACAAGTCGAAATATAAAAAAAATGAAAAGGCCAAAAAAGGGGAGAGCAAGAATCTGAAAGGAATCAGAAAAAAAAGGGGGTGTTTTGGTTTACAACGGGAATAATAAAGACTCAAGCGGGGAGAAGGAAGAAAAGAAAAATAAGAAAGAAATCAACCCTTCACTTTTTTTATCCCTCCTCCTAGTTTCCCATCTATTCCACCACACACAAAAAGACATCCGTCGCGTTTCCATGTATGCAAAAGTCACGTTTTCGAAGACAGACAGAGAGAGAATGAGAGAGAGAGAGAGAGAGAGAGAGAGAGAGAGAGAGAGAGAGAGAGAGAGAGAGATTCTAATTTTGCTTCATGAACAATCCGCCTGACGCCTCTCCCAAAAAAAAGATGACACTTTTTCTTTTCACTCCTCGCTGTCAAATTCTCCAGACGCCACGCCTCATCTCTAGACTTCGTGATTGCAAACTCGTCAACTAGAAACGGCCGGAAGAAAGATATAAAGTAAAAAAAGGTCAAGGGAGAAGAAAAAAAAAGTGTAACAGCTTATGCGGCAATGCTATCCTCACGCTGCTTCTTGACAATGTAGTACGTGATCAAGCTCTTGGGGTCGTCCTTGATGCCAGCCATGGCCTCCCAGAACGCCGCCTCGCCGACACGAGCGTGCAGAGCAACGCAAAACTTGACGGCGTCCATGCGAACGCCCGAATCGGCCGATTCGAGGCACCGGCCCGCCAGGCCAGTGAGCTGCAGGAGCTCCTTGTGGGTGGGCGCATACTCGGGTCGCTTGTCAAGCATCTCCTTGAGAACGTGAAGGCCCATGCTAAGGGTACGGCAGCCTTCGGTAGTGGTATCGCTGCACGACTGCAGGCGTTTCGTTAGCACGACGGCCGTTTCGGAGCCATTGCCGAGGGTGACGAGTTCATCGGCCAGAAGCTCCAGGCCGCTCACTACGTGTGCTCGGGTATCGTAACCGCCACGCGTCTGAAGAAGAGACTCGAGGCCCCTTGATACGTGGGGCTGGAAGTTTCTCCGCTCCTTTTTCAGGAGCACCTTGATGGTTGTCAGGATCTGGGCCTTGACGTCCTGGGCCTTGTCTGCGGAGAGTTCTGGTAGAGGATCTTCCAGGTACTGGAACAGACCGATCAGCAGGGCCTCGAACCGCTGATCAGTGAAGACGGTCCTGCTGTCACGGATCAGAGACTGTAGTTTTCGGAAGCCGTGCACCTCCAGACTCTTGGCCTTGATCTTCGTTATGCCGCTATCCAGGAGGCGAGCGTTTTGTCCATTCTTATCTTGGGACTCGGAATCGTCCGAGATGGGCGGCTGCGTAGGTCTCTGAATGTTTGCCGCATCTTCATTGATTGGCCTCTCTTCCAAGACAGGTCCAGTATGAAGGGACGCCGTTGGTGTTGGCTGGTCCTCGGTGAAGGGATCTTCATACACCTTCAGCGTTCGAGAAGATGGCTCGTTCCGAGGCGATGTTGAGGTTTCGGCGGGGAGAATAGGAGATGGCGAGGCACCTAGCGATTCTAATCTAGGTGAAGCCGACTGTATACTAGAAAGCGTTGGCACCACCAGTGTGAGATCGTCGGTCGCTCTTGTTGGGCTCATGCTGTGGATCATGGTTTGGGAGTGCCTGAGCCTAGCCGGGCTACCTCGCGGTGATGGTATGCCAGTTGGCCGAATATTGGTTGGCGATATCATGCCCGACTCGCTTGCATGAGATATATGAGTCCTTGAGGATGGCCGTTTTGGTGTAGTAGCTCCCCCAGGCCTCGACGATGACGATGACGTGTATTTAGGCTGATCATCTTCTGGGCTATGAGCTTCCCTGGACGAAGACTGATCTCGAACAGAGTAAGGGCCTGCTGTTGCGGGACGAGCAACATCTGGCCGTCTCTTGGCCGGCCTCATAGGAGCTACCGACATGCCACTAGCATTGACCGATATCGTGTTAGTATCAGTCCTATGCCGGGCCAGCGGTTTCGAGGCAGTTGTGTGAAGCTGTGTGCTGGAACTATGAGCCGAAGATGGAGTAAACGTAGACATGGCGGACCCAGGCCGGCTTGGAAGGTTCTTCGTAGCCAGGCTAGCCTTCTTCTGGGCCATCATGGTTTCCCGAAGACTTGGTTTGCTACCGACTGCGGTGGTGCTCCTTGAGAATCCTGCACCGGGCCTGGTGGCGGCAGCTGGTGCCTCTACCTTCCTCCCAGGGTTGGGGTTGTTTGGATCCTTCATGAGAAGCTTCTGGGCGGTGGTATCCAGGTCTGCCATGATTCTGTAAATTAATCATGCTCGTTAGTCTGAATTTCTTCGCCATGTCAAGAATTGTGTTGAAATGAGACTCACGCATCTGCCCTCGCTGGCCATACGGAATAGAATGCCCAATAGAACGCTCTCATCTTTTCTCTGACACCGGGATTGGCGTCACCCAGGGCCTTTTTGATACACTTCTCCATCAATTCGACGCCTCCGGTATGCTCAACGTGGCTTTTGTGATGTGCCTCTTTCCGCAGTATTGTCATCAGCCACCCAGACGCATAGGTTCGAGGTTGAACATTCTTGTCTTGAACTGCGCCCCAAATGTGCTGCATGATCCGGGGAGTGTATGTGACCTTGCTCACAATGGCGTCTATGGCAGCATTGGCCATCTGGGAGCTAATCTTCTTGGTGTTGGCGGCCAGTTTCATAAACGTTTGCATAAGAAGCTCAACCAAGGGGTCCATAGAGGGCCCAAACGCGACAGCCATCTCTTGAACCAAACTGCAGCCTTCTTTCGACAAGCTTGTTCGCAGCGAGTTGACGGCTTTGATGATGCCGTCCAGCAGCGCCTTGAGCCCAGGCATGAAAGTGTCCAAAAAGTCTGCCGGGCCGTTGCCAGCCACCAGCCTCCGTAATGTTACAATACCCTTTTCTCTCTTCATCCAATTGTGTTCAGATTCCTTTCCTTCAAAATGGGGGGCCATCTCCTTAATGATGTCGTCCAATTCGCGATGGGTATTAACATATTGCGGCTCGACAGCTTCGGCTGGAACCTCCATGGGCGTCACGGGTCGGTCGCTTACGGCAAAGGATGAGGGCGCTGACAGGGCAGGTCGAGGAGGAGCAGGTGCGGCATCTGACGGAGTTTCGGAGCGAGGGCCGGTGGGAGCGAGGGCCTTGACGATGGCTTGTTCGATGGCAGGGCGGACTTTGAAGTTTTTCAATTGTCGTTTCAAGTCGGATTTGGCAGCGCCGGGGGCATTCCTGGTCACTGGGTTAGTCAATGTGGTACAGGGGATTGTAAGACGAATCTCACTTAAAGAGCTCGATGACGGTGTTTTTAGCCATATCTCTAACCATTCCGTCTGCATCTTCCAGAAGCTCCATCAGGTTTGGGACATATCCTCGAAATGGCAGACCGTGCTGTTGATGAGTCTAGAGAGCGATATCAGTCCTGGCCCAGCCCATGCATACACCGAGAGGCCCGATAGACTTACCTCCAAAAGCCACTGCATAGACGCCTCCTTGGCCCTCGGATTCTTGCTGCCCATGGCCATGTTTCGCATCGAGCGCTCGACGTCGGCGGGGGCAACGGCGTACAATGTGTTTAGACTCTGCAGTGCCAATGCGCGAGGCTTGTCCTTTGAATCTCCCAGCTTCTCTATGACGAGAGGGAGCGTCCGAACGGCCTCTTTGGCCAGATACTTGGGCTCCTGGCGCGACATGCGCGTAAAGAGATGGTTGAGGGCTGTGAAGCCGGCCGTGGCCAACGCGACATGCTGGGAGCTGGAGGCGCTGCGGAGGCCCTCAAAGAGCTGCGGGATGCACGTCTCGGGGACGTTGTGCTGCTTAATGCCGGTCTTGATGGTGTTTACGTACTGTACTTTGACATCGAAGTGGGTGTTGTCGTTTCGCAGGACGGCCGTTAGGTTGTTGACCTGGTCGTCGGAGAGCTTTGTATCGGCCATGGATTCGGTAGCAGACCGAATCTGCTGCTGGACAGTCTGCGCCTTTGTCAGAACCTTTGCGTTGCACAGAGCAGTGGAAGCCATGAGTGCAAAAAAGTAGCGAGTCGACTTTGCGACAAACTGGCCTGTCGCAAAAGAGTGAACAGGGCCAGCGCAAACTCCTGATGATGTTCGTCTATCAACTCACAGCAATAAGCGGGTTGTTCTTTGCGTCTCAGCAAAGGATTTCCCCTCCCCGGTCTCCTTGTCTTTTTTTTTTGCTTGTTTTCTCTCGTTTTAAGGTCTCAGACTGTGTATGCGCGGGTATCGTTGGAATGAAGCTGGCATTTGGAGGGGCAGCGCAAATGAATTAGTAATTCGCTCTTCCGTTTCCCTCTGTCCTTTTCTCTTTTTTTCTCTCGGTTCCCCCCTTTGCTGTTGATTTTTTGCCCTTATCGCCGTCTAGCTAGCGGGCGCGGGCGCGTGTGTTGATGTGTGGTGAGAGTAGAGTGTGTGTGGAGTTGTGTTGTGTTTTTGTCCGACTCATTTCCAGCCCAAACAAAGAAAGAAAATAATCAGGAGGGAGTTTTTGCGGCGTGACGTGACCATGCTTGTTGCCCCGGTCGCCGGTGCGCCACGTGTGGCTTAGCGCTGGTGGGAGCTTGGGGCTTTTGCTGGTCTGTGCGCGCAATTGAGCAAGTGAGCAGCCGCCCCTGGAGGGGGAAGAGGGGCTGATTTTGCGTGTAGAGGGTACTTGGCAGGGAGCTTAAATGAGTGCACTTTAGTGGTTCCAGAGACTCCCGCGGGGGGCTGTCAGCGGATACTCCAACACGAAGCCCCTGAGAGCCACAAGTCCCGGATACCTCGGAGTGCTGGGAGAGCGTCAGGGCCGTGGCTTAGGCACCAGATTAGCCCCGGAACCCCTAGAGTGCCCAAGCCCAGGGTCCCCTACCCCGCCATCGTGAACGGTCATTACCTACAGCGCTGCCCCGCGGCTTTTGAACGGCTCCAAGGTCGAGAACACGACGAGGAATAAGCTGATCCGATGCATTATCGATACCATGGCTGCTTACCTTGAGATGTAAAACACCCGATTGGGCGTTGAGAAGGATTGTTACATAGACCGAAGGTAGGGTGTAGAGGCGATGATTTGGCTGGCGCTTTTACCGTACTCTTCAGCCTCATTTAGCCATGTGATGATTAATGTCTTTCACAGTGGAATGCTATCTCTATCCCGTGTTCACTTGTCTCTCCCGTCCTCACTTATATCCATCCCATCTTCACTTATATATATCCCGTCTTCGCCTGTCTTTACACCGTCTTTACTTATCTCTATCCCGTACAGCCTCTCCTCTTATATATTACAAATATCCAAGGTACATACTAGTTAGACAGACGGACAACATCAACACCATGACCCGAATTGCAGAGCCCACGCCACTCCCCCCCTCAACTCACACAAACGGCACGCAAACCCACCAAGGCCAATCTCAAAATGATGAGCACACGGAAATCTTCTCCGTACCAAACATCCAGCTCCAGGTCCGAGACCTCAAGCACCCCGGCGCAAAGCGCTTCCTCGGCGCCGTCAACGCAGCCGATTGCCTCACCACGGGCACCCTAAACGTCCTCAAGCTCCTGTACAACACGCCCCCGGACCCGGAGACCAAAGTCCCGCCAACCAGCGCCGTGACGCTCGTCCTCGAGGACATGCCCGGCGTGGCCTACACGGTCGGCCAAAACGGCGACAACAACAAAAAGGAAATTCACTTTTCGCTCTCGTACATTGCGCAAATCACCCCCTACCGCGTGGCCCAGGAAATCAACGGCGTCGTCATCCACGAGCTTGTCCACTGTTTCCAGTACAATGGCTTCGGCGCCGCCCCGGGCGGGCTCATCGAGGGCATCGCAGACTGGGTGCGTCTTCACTGCAACCTTGCGCCGCCGCATTGGAAGCAAGAGGTCAAACAGAACTGGGATGCCGGGTACCAGCACACCGCCTTCTTCCTGGAGTATCTTGAACGGCTCTATGGTCAAGGGACGGTTCGTCGAATTAACGACAAACTAAGGACCAGCAAATATGCCGAGGACGTCTTTTGGGTTCAGCTCTTTGGAAGAAAGGTCAGAGATTTATTTGCAGACTATACTAGAACATTGCAACATGCCGCATAGTTGGACTTAGAGAGAGGTGCGGCGGGAATCACAAGGCTGCCGCCAGTGTATGGGTCATATGATGGGGAAATACTGGCTAGCATTCCAAAGTTGGCTATCCAGTACCCCATGTCTCAGATATAAAGTAATATACTACTCCCTTCATATTTCGTCATAGGTATTTCCCAGAAGATAGAAAGCACAGACTCTAGTGTAGAAAGATGGTTTCATTGATCGGTAGATACGGCAATGGTATTTAGGTATAGGCAGTTTGAAGGAGCGCAACAGGACGTCAGAGTCTGAACATGTATATCTTGCCCCAAGATGCAACAACAACAGTTGGCTATGTACCTTGCCACGAGATCAGAAGATACAGCAAGAATGAATAGATTGAATATACACGCCCGTAAACGATAGAGGGGCTACCTGCAGTAGTGTCATGTCTGGTTAAATCAGATCCCGGAGCGCCAAAACTCAACGCCACACCATTTATACCCAAAAAGGAAACAGCATATCAAAAGGAAATAGAACAGGATCCCGGTTTAGGCTCTCTCTTGTAAGACAGACCGCGTTTGCATATGCCAACCTACACATTACGCTCACGCGTGCATTGGGCCGTCGTTGTCGCTGATGACGCTACCCACCTCCGACCAGCTTGCCGGGGTGGCCATGCCCTCGCTCTCGCTCATCACGTCCATGTACCGTCCATTGCTGTCATGCTCAGAAAAGTGAGCGTCATTGGCAATATCCTCGCCTGACCCAACAAGAGAAATGGAGTCGGTGGGGGTAAGCTCTCCTTGAGAGATGACGTCCGGCTCAGACATTGGTGCTACGGGAGTCACGGGGAGAGGGGAGTAAAAGTCACGGCTCGATTCCTGGGCCCAGGCCTGGATGGTAGCATGGACGTCGCGACGATCTTCTTGGCCAGCAGACATGAACTCGTTTTCGGCAAGCTCTCGCTCGAGGGTAGGTGGCGGCGACTGTGATGGGATGGGTAGCGGAGCGACATCAATCAACGGCGCTGGCGAGACAGGCTCCAGAGTGGCAGTTTGACGCTCTTCATGATCATCACGGGTGGTTGCGCTGTAAATGTCTGACATGACCTCGCTCTGCTCGGGGGCGAGCTGGCGGGCAAGGTGGGCATCCTGGATCTCGTCGGCCTCGATGTGATGCTCGTCTGCAAAGGGATTGGAGTAAGCGGGCGACATGAAGCCTCGGGCGCCCTCTCCGCGACGCCGCAGGCCGCCATAGTCCCTAGTGTCGGCACCAGAGTTGAAGACGTATGCACCTTGCTCGGCAGAGGTATCCGGCTGCAAAAAATCGTCAAAGGTAGATCCGCGAGACAGTTTGGCCGGTCTGGGAGGCGGGTCGGACGAGTTTCGCGGCTGGCCCTCCCGCTCCCGCTGCTGGAGCCGCACGGCATTCCAGTACAGCAGCTCCTCTCTCTGCCGGCGGCGGGTTTCGTCATCGGCATCGACGCCAGGCTCTGCTCCTGTACCGCGGCGAGACTGGAGGAAGCCCTCGGCGTCTTCGGGCCTGTTGAAGCGGGGCTCCCTGGCTGAGGGAGTGATGCCGTCACCCATGGAGTAGAAGGCCATGGCGATGCGTCGGCGGACGTCGTCGGCGTACTGGCGCAGCTCGGGGGACTCGTAGATGGCGATGAAGGTAGCCACTGCCACTGAGACGGCGACGACGGCGCCCGAGGCCAGGACCATATGATGTGCTATGGGCATGTTGGCGGCTCGATGGGCGGGTTTAAGTAGGTTGGTCGTATGTATGTAAGAAGCAGGTCTGAGCCGGTCTGGTCCGCACAAGAGAGAGCGAGAGGGGCAGCAGGACGGGCGGCTAAGGCACAGACAAGGCAAGGCAACCGGCGCCTGAGCTGCTGACTTGGGAAATGCGGATAAGCAGGCGGCTGCAACTCTGCAATTGCGTGCGAGGAGGAGGAGGGAGGAGAGAGCGGAAGCGAGAGGGAAAAGGCAGCCGAATGAGCGACAAATCCTTTTCTGCTGCTCTCAGCCTATCGACCCGGTCTGTGAAGGAGTTTGAGAGTAGAGAGGAAGAATGGAGGGAAAAGTTCAAAAGATGTCACCGCCACAGCTGGTAGAAGAGCAATATGGAGGACAAGCCACATGAGCAAGGCAAGGCGACCTGCTTGCGTGGTCCGCGGGCGAAGCTTTGCCACTTCTCGACGCCTTTTTGCTGGCGTATTCGTAACGCCATGCGCGGCCTGGGTGGGCGCCTAGGTGTAGGTACTCGGTACGGGGACTGTGCTCGATGCTAAGTCACTCGGGGCTGAGGCGTCACATGATCCGTGACCTGTCATGACAACGCATCACGTACCTCTACCTGAGACCTGAGACCTGATATAGACCTGATACCTGATGCTAGACGTGCTGTGCCAATAACGTGTTGAGGAAGCGCTACAAGAACGGTAGCCCAGGCTCAACGTTGGCATCCGTGATGTGTCAAGCGGTAACAGATGCCATCTGGCAGCAATATGCAAGGCCTATAATGCTAGTGCCGTGACGGGCTGCACTAACAGACGCAGGCTCATGTACGATGATGGAACCCCCCACTGACAAAAGACGGATTCTAGATAACGCTCTCATCTGAGGTTTTAGAGAGGGATTCATCCATTTCACCGTGACATGACCATTTCATGTAAATAGGTGAAGGCGTTGCAACGGAGATGCGTTCTTCTCGGTACCTGTACTGCCAGTCATAAGTGGGCGCATCAATTGGCAAACTCCAAAAAGTGGAAGCTGGGAATTTCCTTGTCAGGCACCATGTGAATCATCGTGATGTTGCCTTGTTGGTCTTGTTGGTAATGAGGACCAGCCCTTTGCGTGATGTGCTGACAGGGTGTGCCTAGCCGCCGGCATTCCACTTTCTCAATGCAGCGGAATCACAGCTCTGGCGATCCCGGTATGTGATACAAATTGACAAGGGCCATATCTGGGATGTTGAGCAAGATCGATGTGAACCGTCATGAGCAGAATGTAGACGATTAAATTGAACATGATCCCTTCCTATCCATTTAGGAGGTAGTGGGCACGCGACACACGATATATGAGCGCTTAGATCTAGGCTGCATAAAAGTCTTACAACAGAGAATCTCCATGCCCGAATTCTTTTTACATTAATCATCAGTCAACATCCCAATCGAGACACCGAAGAATCGAAACGCCAAGAATCTACAGTGACATGGAGAAGACAGACCAAGAAAAAAGGTAAGATAATGGTACCAACAGTGAATCTTACTCCAAACTTTGACATTCTTCTCCCCGATAACGGCCCGATCCGGTCTTACTCAAGCACAGCAAAACAACACCCTCAAGGCTATTTGTCCAGGGAAGCCTATCAAAATCAGGTCATAGAACCCATCGCATCGCACAACTTGGCACTCCGTCACGCGAGCTCCCCGACATGCAAGTCACACATGGCCATGTTTCTACCAAAGCCGCGAGAATGCTGCGCTGCTGGCTCGATTGGATCCCTCGCTTGCCAAGCTGACAGCTCCGGACTCGAGCCTCCTCATCTGGAAGCCATGCCCGCGTCCTAGAACATTCAAAGCTTTGTGGTCCCCTGTCCAATTGGCTCCGATGACGCCGTCAATCCTCTCGGACAAGCCTTTTTTTTTTTCCCTTGCTCTAAAACTCTTGGCTGGACCGTTGGAAGCTTGCCTTGCATGAGAAGCGCTGTTGGATGCGTTGCGTCTTCCTCACTCATTTACAGCACGAGACAGGAAAAGGAACGTAATAAGTCAAGGTTGTATGATTCTAATCTGCAAGGACTCCCCGGGGTTCTCAAATGCCCCCCCAAACCTAAATAACAAATCTCAATCCCTAAACGCACGCACGCATGCATAACACCGACTGCCCAAAGTGAGGCAGTATCAAACGGAACTCCACGATTTTCCTCCTGCAGTTGTTCTGGGTCCCTGGCGTGGGAGCGAGAGCGACTTCAAGAGCGCACAAGTGTTCCCCTAAACGCCATAACATAGCTCTGGTGAAATTTCCCGATTCTCAATTTATTTTATTTTAATTTCTTCGGTTTACTTTGTCTCGGTAGTAGAAGAAGAGTCGCTGGAAGTGGTGGAATCGGTGGAATCGGTGCGCTGGGCCTTCTTGCGCTCACTGTGGTTGTATGTTAGATGCTTGCTTGCCTTGTGACGTATGACATGACGAGAATATTGCGCTGTGCCGGAGTAATGGTAATGGCGAGACATACTAGTGAGAGCGGTCCTGCAGAGTGCATTCCCAGCGAGCATTGCCCGTCTTGATCTGGAACTTGATGCCCTTGTTCTCGCCAAGGCCAGGGAGAGCAGGAGCAGGAGCGGCGGCAGCGGCCGCAGGAGGAGCAGAAGAAGTCGAAGGCATTTTTGGTGTTGAAGTTGAAGTAAAGTTTTGGGCGATGGTGTGAGGATAGTTGAACACTTGAGAGAGAGAGTCTGTCGAAGAAGAGAAGTCTTTTGGAAGAAGAAAGGGAAGCCAAGTGTGGGCAGACGGGGGGAGCAAGGCTGCTTTTATACACCCCCAGTTTATATAAGAACCTAGAACAAAATTAAAAAAAGGCGGCAACGGAGATCCAGCGATCAGACTCGGCCCGACGCAATGGCTGGCTTACTACATGTAACTTCCATGTCCCTTTGGGAATACCTGATACCGGCGCGTTTTACGGGGTATTAGTCAAGCCTATCACAAACAAACACTGCCAATCCCGTGTATGAATCAAATTATGAAACCGTATTTCTCTTTTTGACTTGTCTTACTCTTCTTCCTGTGGGCGTGGCCCCCAAATGGCTGATCCAGACGCTCTCCAGAAGGATGTATTCGAGATTCACAGCTGAAAGGGAAAAAGCAGCCGCAGATTAACCTTCCAAGGTTTATCTCAGATTCAAGGTTTTGGGGGTCCAGCTGGATAAGGTAGGTGAGCTATTTAATCCCGCGCCTCATTTTCCCCCCAACTACTGTTGGATAGGCACATGTAGATAGGCGTACTTGTATGTAATGCTTTTGATATGTGTGGAGTTGTGGGTTTCTCCGTAATATTAATTACAGAACGCCCATGCTTGTTAGTTTTCCCCAGTCCATGGACTCCAATGCCAAAGATAACTGAATCAGGGCCATCATTATTTACCCCTTACCTGTATTCAAGGCAAATCCAATAAATAAAACCCACAGACTTCTTTTGTCAGCATCCTCTGAGAGATGAGGTACTACTAATAGCATCACAAGACGTGGACATGTCGATAGGTAGCCAGACAATCAGGCGCTCGCCCTGTGTCCATCCTTTCACTGCACATCAACGCATGTACTAGACTAGCGCATCCACACAAAAGCACCAAATAGCAAGCAAGCATTTCCCTCACCGAGCCCTGAAAAGACGCCACACGGTCGTCGTTCGGTCGGCAAAAGCGGTCAAAGGCGTGGTTCGGAACCCGGAGATTGGAATGGAACCGCACATGCACATGCAAATGCGGATGCTGGTTTTGTTACAGTGGCCCACCGTGACATGATGGCATCAATGATGATCTAACAGCGTTTAGCATGATTCAACTATCAAGTGAGGTGATGAGAATCAAATCCCATCGTCCAAGCAAAAACAAAAACTCCCTACATCGACGCTACTGCACACGCCTTTCTGACGTTGCACGCTCAACGTTGCAGCCAAGTCTTCTAGAAGCCGGCCCTCCCATGTCGCCAAGACTTCTTCACAGGTCACAAACTTGTCGACTAAAGCATGTTGTGTCCAACTTTTGCCACATGCACACGACAAATCCATCAGCCTTGGCGGTTACATTTTGCGATGAACAAACCGTTATCAAACAACATTTGAGGAACTCGGTTTCCAGCCCCCAAAGTAACAATCGGGGTTCAACAACAAATGTCGCACTGCAAAGTACTATATGAAAGAAAGCTCAGCTCTCACAAGCACACGGTGCAAAGTTGGTGGCGCTGCGTCTTCTCAACAGGCTTCCAAGGCGTTCGTTGCGATATAGTATGGGATTTGATTGGACGTAAATGTTTCTCTGGAGGCGCGACGATCGGTTTGCAAAGCGAACAGCGAAAGCCATCTGCGAGTACATGGTCTACTCCATACATCCAAGTAGACACACACACACACACACAAATGCAGCCCCCCACACACCGCCGATATGACATTATTTGTGTCTCAGTGGCTAGCCAGCTGGCCACAGTCATTTGGGCTCTGGATAACTCGGCTTCAAGCTTGGGATTGGTAATGATTTAGATGGTGGCGCCGCCGTTCGGCAGATGCCCGACAAAGTGGTTCGAAGGTTTTCTGGGCTGAAAAGATGGAAACAAGATGGAAACAAGATTTCGCCTCGTCGGGTTTATGCTCACTGGGTGTTTTTTTTTTTTTCACATGAGAGAAGAGCAAAAGCGCAACCCGAGTTTAAAATGCGTGCTATCTCCGTGCCACATGCTATCACGGGTAAAAGAGGCGGCCCAGAAAGTCAATACTCTGGGGAAAGGGTCCCCCCATTTTCTTCTTCTTCTTCCTGGTGGTTTCGATAATTAAGGATCTAATGCAATCATGTAACACAAGCGAGAAAGACTCTTTTCTAATAAATGACGTTACACAATAGCTCTCAATAGTTCCATTAGGATTCGGGGTTATTCGGTAGCCGTTTTTGGCGCCGCCATCCAACAGCACAGGCAAAATCCATCCATCCCGCATCTCCGTCTTATTGCTGTCTTCCCCCACATTGGGGCCCCACGATGAAGCTGAGACCTGATGGAGTGACGTGCCGATTGGCCTTGGGGAACAAGTATCAACCAACCACATGGCAATGATAGTCGGATTGTCTCAGTCTCACCACTGCTGATAGTCTACGGAGTAACGTGAACCACAAATGCTAGAGGCAACGTTCGCCTTCTCAGCCAAGATCCCCACGGGTTTCCTCAAGCGGGATGGTGTCTGGTCATTGCTGCTGTGGTGCTTCGGCTAAGAGGGGCTAGCTGTCACAGAAAGCGTGGTTTTCCACGATATATTTGTCTTTGGTGCTGTTTAGTGTATCTAAGAGGCAAGCTGCCTAGCCATGAGTGATTTGCCTTTGCAAGACCCTCTGGAAGATGGGATGTTGACTCGGTGTTATCCTAATCTGGCGGTCAACTCGCCTGAAAATCTAAAGGCAAATTTGGCTGCTTGATCCCTAGTGTCGATACCGTGTTATCCCTTGTATGATATCCCACATCGATAGAAACAGACATCAGAGTATCAAACGAGACGATGCGTAGAGTCATGAAGCTGTTTGTTTCAGAGGATAGGAAATGCATTGCCACCTCTGCACACTACCGCAGCACTCACAGTGCTTGGCCGATAGTCTACTTGGCAGTTATGCAAGCAACCGTTTTCCGATGGCACAAAATGCTGCCAAGCTTCATGGCTCCGATCTAGAGCTGTTGCAAAGGATTCGAAGCCACTGTCAGCATATAGGAGCCTAAGAAGCTCAGCCAAGGTGCTCATATCGAGGCGGTTCTGCCTGTGACATTACGCAATCCATTCCTCGCTCAGCCAAGCGACGCCTCGTGGGGTCCAAAAAGAAGACCTTTGACGATATTGGTGTTGACATTTTGTGACAGGAAACGCGGCTTCAATCGATGTCGCCCTCGCGGAATCGAATGACAAATCACCGAATGACGGAATCCGGGAGTCTTTGGCAGCCAAAGCCAAGATGCCTGATGCTGGCCATTGACTCGTGTTGCATCTGGATGCTTGAGGCGGAATTCCGAGCTTGGCGCTTCAAAGCGGACGGCCTCATGCATGAAGAATCCAGTTTCGTAGTTTCGTCCATGGTAGGAACGCTGCCTTATCGGCTGTCCATCATTCGCATGACTTCTGCCTCTTCATCTCGGGATGCATTGTCCCCGTTGCCGACTTGTAGCCCTCTCCGGTGCAATTCGTCCTCCACCATGCTTCTCTTAAGCATACTATTACCGAAGCCCGGAAAGTCCTCCTTGAGTTTTTGCATCCATCCTTCGACGCTGCGCATGGCAACCACAAGAAATCCCAGTTCTTCACGGTCAACGTCAAAGACTTCCCACCACTCATGCTCCGGCATCTTGGCACCCAGATCACGCGCCGCATTGTATATCGCCGCTGTGGCTAGGGCATTAGGCTGGTGCGTTATGTAAAGCATCTGGGGTGACAGTAGGGCCGTGTTGAGATATTGAATCGTTCGTAGAGAGACTGTTGTTCGTGGCTGTGATAAAAAGTCCAGAGTCTGGAGATAGGTAATGGCTAGCGGATGCGGAAGAGAGACCTGGGTATCAAACGAAAGCGACTGAAGGATGCGAGCCTCCAGTCCCAGTATCCGCTGCTGAAAGGCATAGTAGTCCGCCTCGGTCTGATAGTACGCCCTCGGGTCGTCCTTGGGCAGCTCGCCGCCGGGGAAAAGGGCCGAGTTGACAGATGACAGATTGGCGTAGACGTTGGAGACGTCTCGCGGCGAGCGAGGGAGTGGCCCCAGCTTCGAGACGAGATAGATGGTAGCAGCAGAGACGTCCTGTGACAAACAAAACACCAAATGTTAGTCATCTTGATTCGCCCTCGGCGGCAATCCGTTCAAGGTACACCTACACCGAACTCGTGAGCCATCGGCGACTCTGCCAGCCAGAACCGCGCCAGCAGGACATTAGCCTGCGCCGTTACCGATTGAGGCAGTTGCAGGAGCCGGCCCGCCGCCTGCGTCAGGCATTGCGTCGCAAAATAGACGGCCTCGTCGATGTCTCGCGGCAAGATTGCGGAGGAAGCGCGGCGATACAGCTGGGATGGCGTCGCCAGCGGGTTTGCGAGGAGGCTCATGATGCGGATGCGATTGCGATGCGATGCTATTGCTACCGAGGCCGGAAATCTTGCCGAGGCCGATTGGCTTGTTCTCACCAGAAGTGGGATGCCGGCTGACTCTGGCGGAGAGAGTACGCGAAATTGTGCGAAGCGTTCTGGTTGGGATTTCAAATATTTGCGAGGCAAGAAACTTTTTGGATGCGATGCGCGATTGAGCTCCGGCGACCCACCAGAGCTTGCCGCCGCAGTACACGCGTGTACATGTGACAGGTGCATGCTCAATGCTTGGCGTGGTGTATTTGTCAAGTACCGATATTGCATCCCTGGATTACACCGAGCACTACCAGCAATAAGGAGGCAATGGCACTAAATTATGATATTGTTGCCCATCTATTGCTTCTACCTACCTTGGTAGGTGCTGTGCCTGAATCCGCGGACCTGGGAATCCAGCATGTTTGCAGTTGAAGTAGCCTAAAGGCGAAAATGGTCTGCATTGGCGTTGATATGAAAATCGACATTACTAAGGCATCAATTTTCAAAAGCATTAGTATGCTGCGCTAGAAGCTTTTCTCTTCGACTGGCATATGGTTGCGTAGAACGCTCCCATTGGTAAGCTTACAAGCTTATATCTCGTCTACTTAGACTTCAACGAACGAATATGCCTAATGATGTTTTGTGGATGACAACATCATTGGGTAATCCCATTCGAGAAGGCTATCTGAAAAGATGACTCGAAAATAGTTTGTCTTCGCCACTACCTCGGGTTTTGATACAACACCACTCCCATTCCCGGGAGGCGTGCGATGAGTAATCTAACCGGATTTCGTCGCCTGTAAACGCCGGCTGCAAGAATTTCTGCTTCTGGCAAAAAGCTTACAGGGCGTCAGATGGGCATCCCGTATCCAAGAGAGCATGTGTCACGCCAGTCTGACCAATGGCATCCCTAAAATATTACTTGGCTTGCAGTTGTGATGCCATTCAGAGCCTGCAGAGTTGTCGCCTGTCTCTCCTACGTTGGCATTGATATGTCTTTGAAGCGATGTGGTGGCTTCAACGTGGCTCATGGCGACGGGGATTATTTGATACCCGCTCGCCGAGCTGATTTAGCAATTCGAGCGCCATGAATGACACAGAGTCGGCAAAAACTCTCGAGAGGGCGCTCTTCAGCTAGTTAGGGCTCAATGCCACAGCGAAATGCTCATTGGCCCGTCGGCCTGAGTTTCAACAAACTTGAAGCTCGGGTCCGAACCTCCAGCCCTCTTGACGGTGCCTAAGCACTAGCCGTTTAGCCCCAAAGCTTGCCAACCTCGCCGTCTAAGTTGACCACTGATGTCCTGCTGCTAGACCAAGGGAAATGGCGGGCGGCTGTTCAGCCTTACAAGGCCAGAAGAAGAAGAACTGACGGCGTGGCTTGCCAACTAGGTAGTAGTAGTATCACGATCAATGTTGGAAGAAAGGAGGAGGGGGGGTAGAGGAGGGTGACTAAATTTCGTGCTTGTCGTCGGTAGCTGCTTGGAGCTGTCACTGCATGCCCTCGTCAAAAAGGCAAAGAGCTGCTGTGTGTTTCTGGATTGAGTTGCGCGTGAATGCACCTCGACACGTGCAGGGGAGCGCAACGCATTGGCGAAGGATTCAATGATTCCATGTGATATGATGCTGACTGAAACACTCTCTGGGCATAGGGCAGGATGCAGATGCAACGACACCTGAACAACTGTCAAAGTAATCCCGTCTATCCGCCGAGCCAGTGCCTTCGGATGAAATATTCCGCGTATTATTTGTGAACCGCTTGCCAATAGTGGTATCCAATCCGTCTTTTCCCTAATTGGACTTTGGATGGAACGAGGCAATCTGTTGAGTGACCATCTTTTGAACTGGGTTGGCCCCCACAGTGGCAATCTGCAAAGAGAAACCAAGAAAAGAGATGGAAACGAGCCCGGTGTTGTGAGCTAGTCTTAGCAACTAGTAGTCGCAAGTTTCATTTCCCACCTCGTGGCTACTCGAGTCATGGACTGAGCTGGCTCTGGGGATTCCAAGTCGTTAGTGGTGCCCAAATCCTCTGGAAAGGGTCTGCCGGCTAGATCTGGGGGCCCAACTAACAACCAAACGGGGTACCGGCCTCACGGACCCGGGGCGCCATGATATGATCGACGGGGCAAACGAACCAACATGTCCAGGGCATTGCATCTCGCCGTGTTGTGTTACAGTGCCTTGTCGCAGCACTGTAGTGAAGGTGTGCGGAGTTGGACCGTTTGCATTAATGTTTCCTTTTTCTGCCTCTCCCTTCATTGTCTCGGCTTTTTTAGTGCTCGATTGTTCAAACACCCATGTCGGGCACGTGTAGGTACCTCAATGCCACATCTTCCTCCCTGCCAGGGTGCTGATACTTGTTATTGCACCACTAAAGCTACTTTGGTCTAGGTAGGAGGGCTTGTCTTCCATGTCGCAGATAATGTGGCCATGACAAAGAATCCCGAATGGAAAACGCCTAAATGCTCAACTTCGAAAGAGCTACGGTAACCCGGAGTTCCGTGGCGGTACGCGGACTTAACAGTACCCAGGGTATACGGTGCTCCGTCCGCTTCCAGCAATGGGTATATATGTAATACAAACTTGCCTGCTGCAGATCGAGGCTGGTGATGAGATTTTTCTCACGCTTCTCGTTTTACCCATGCTGGGCCAATTCCAAATGGATCAACCCACTTTCTGGTTCGTGAGGCGTCCCGGAAAGTCGGTTGGGAGTGCTACCTCGAACCTGCTGCTTGGAGACATGGGTCGGCTTATTTGCAGGTACTTATTTGACGTCGGGTGTTGGCGGCAATACCTCGCGCTTCGGTACTCGACACTACCACACCAGGTACCACACCCAAAGTAGAGCCAATGTACTCCCTACGGGGCCCGTAAGCACGGCCGCCACGGGTTCAGGCAGGCTGGGAAAAGGCCTTTTGCAGCGACCAAGTACGATGAGGTACTTTGCGAGAACCACTGCCTGAAGCTTCCCATGTGGCAACTTCCCTTCCATGTTCTTCTTCCTCGGACCTTGATATTGACTTTTGGCCAAAACACCACATCACATCACATACTGTACAGCAATTCGCTCTCGCTGCCGGCGTCCAACTGCCGCGGCCGGCAAGCTATGCGCCCCCCTTATGTCGGCATTTTCAATCAATGACATGGCCTTGCGACAGACTGGCTGCAAACGGGCGGTTGAAGGTTGTGGCCAAGAGGCAGGTTAGTGCGAGGTTGTGCGCTGCAGGGGGGCACCACGGCAGAGTAAGCCGTCGGTGCTGGGGCTAATCTGGCTGGCTGCATATGTGCCTGTCTGTGTGCGACGAGGTCGATGCCAGGCTAACGTTGCCAATCCAATCCAATCCAATCCAATCCACCTGGCCTGGTCTCAGCCCAGCGAGAGCCGATGGCATCAAAAAGACCAGCCACGACTCCATCGACCAATTGGCCCGGCTTAGGCACGCCCCTCTCGAGCACCGTTCGATAGCCTAGTCCAGCCAGAGTCTCCCGCGGCGCACGACTCAAACCATCTAATTCGCTCCGTCCCTCCTTTCGGCGTGGAGTGGCGACGTGCCTCCGTGACGAGCCGAAGACCAGCTCGATAGAATAAAACAAGAACTCGCATCCTTGTCCGCGAGTTCCAAGACTTGGACCGTGACTGCTGGAAGAAAAAGTCCTTTCCCTGCAGCGCCTTTTCCCTGGCTCATTTCCATCGCCCTCCTCCCAGTTTCTCTTTCTGCTTAGTGCGGTCAGGCTCCGCATTCCGGCCCGCGGGTCAAGACTCCCTGGACAGCTTGGACTTGAGCGCGAGAGCGAGCCAGCGGGCGACAGGAGTGGGCTTTGAAGCATTGCAAGGCCGTTGACAGCCCACTTGACTGTACAAGTATCTGCTGTCAGCATTTAATATTTGTTTGTGCTGGCTGTTTTTTCCTGCTCCCCGCCATTTTGGTCGTGTCAAACACGTACTGGCCCCCGTTTGGTTTGCTCAACAGGGTCTCGCACACGAGAAGGGGGGGAAAATAATCCAGAGAGAGCCTGCAACGATCTTCGCCGGGTTGGGGGCTTTGAGCCTCTTTCGTCTGCCAAAAGAGCCTCCCGTCTGGCTTCCACTCTAGCCGGCCGTGTGTTGGTCCTCGCTCCCTTGCCTTGCGTCGACCTGCTCGTACTCCGGCGCATCTCTGCCGCACTGCGTTGGTGCTCGCATCGATATCGGCGGCTTTTAAATTATTTGTTTCATTTTTCATTTCCATCGCTTTGTTAGGGAGGTGCGGTATCTTCAACTCCAAGCCGTAACGCACCTCGTATTTCCGGCCAATGCATCGATCATGGCGCCCTCAAAACCTTCTCCCACGGCTTCCGACGTCGTTGCTCCCATGACACCGCCGCAGGAGTCGGAAGCACCCCCGGCCAAGGAAAAGCGAAGACGGGCCGGCAAACCCAAGGTTCGGACGGGCTGTGTGACTTGGTATGTTGTGTAACCCGACCTTGTGTGAGGGCGAGCCCCCTTGCATACGCCTTCCTCTCATTCGCCCTCCGCCATGACTTGAACCTTTTGCGGCTAACAACCGGGGAACAGCAAGTGAGCTACATCCTCATACGCCAAACCGAGGATGAAGATGAACTTCTCCTCTCCCCCATCTTCCTTTGTTTCATTCCGCATACTAATCGTGAGGCTCGCTGTTACAGAATAAGAAGAATCAAATGCGACGAGCAGAAACCGGCATGCCAGAGATGCATCTCCACAGGTCGAACTTGCGATGGCTACAAAACCACCGCCAAGCCAAAGGCGACGAGGAAGCCCGGATTTTCTCAGCAGCTCTCTTCATCTTCGTCGATTAATTCATCATCATCTTCTCTGACGCTACTACGACCCCTGGTGACCAACTTCAGCGGCGACACGGTGGAGAGTCAGTACATTTCCCAGTTTCTTCCCCTGGCGGAGGACTTGGTGGGCATCACGCATGTTCACAACACCTTCTTCTGGGGGCACGTCGTGCCAGAGTATTGCTTCACGTCCAAGGCCGTGAGGCATGCCATGGTCGCTCTCAGCTCTGCCTATCACGACTTTAGGCTAGCCGGATCCAACACAACCGCCATCGGCCCGCCAACTAACAGCGAGCGCTACATCATCAGACACTATAACCTGTCGCTGAATAGGATGGCCGAGGAGCTGAACGGGCTGCCCATGAGAAAGCGCTACGGCATCATCATGATATGCTGCGTCTCGTTTTTCTACATTGAGATTCTGCGAGGGAACTGGCCGACTGCCATGATGCACCTCGCCAACGGCATCCGGCTAATGTCCAACCTCCCAGACGAGGTCGAGGACGTCTTCCGTCATCCAGAAATATTCAGCCACGATCACGACAATTCCCATGCCAGGGCAACCTACATGACGAAGCTGCTTCGCAGGTGGGAAGGATCGGCAGCATTCATGAGGACCAATTCACCACCGTCCTTGTCTCTCCAAGCCTATGAGTCAAGGAAGAGCAACGCCGCAGGGCCCAAACAGTTTACGTCGTTGGAGAAGCTCCAAGAGGTCGTTGATGACTTGTTCCAGGATGTCAACGCCTTTACCTGGATGTGCAAGCAGTACAATGGTGATGACACTGCTTGGGATCATGAGGCCGCTCGGTTCCAGTTCGACGTGCTGCACCAGAGATGCTATCATATCAGAGAGCTGCTGAAGAAGGCAAACAGCATGTACGGGGACATGGAACGGGCGCCGAACCCGCGCGACTTTCTCAAGTATATGGGCTGCCTGCTCAAACATCGCGGCGCGTCGATCGGTCTCAACTTTATGCCTCTGCCCCAGGGTCTGGCCTATACGCCCCCCGACGAAGAAGAGAACCAGTTTAGAGAAGTGGCCTCTATTGCAGAGATGATGAAGCACGGCTTGCAGGCGACGTTGGTGCCTGGAGCGTCGCCGTGGTTCAATGTGGACTTTGGAGTCGTCACCACGCTATATATCGCGGCATCCAACTGCTACACGGTCTCGATGAGCGAAAAGCTGTTTGACATGATGAAGAGCTGGCCGTGGCGGGAGGATCTGTGGGACGGCCCACAACTGAGACGGCAGCTGTACGACCTCCGGAAGCCCATCGTCGAGGTCCCCGTCGCAACCACGCCTGATGCGGAGACGCCCGTTCCTACAACGCCCCATCTGATGAAGCTCGCGCACCGGCCACCATCCCGAGCAGCAGCAGGAGTATCAACACCAGACTCGGACGATTAGTTTCTTGTTCTTTTTTTTTTTTTTTGGACGTATGATATATACCCCGTATTCTTTCTCATCTTTTTTTATTATTACTACACAAACGAGCGCTTCAAGTCTAGAAGCCGGCCTCGTGGCGCAATTGGCGAACGACTTGGAGAGAAAAGAAACCGTTCCCCTATCGCCCTGGAACGGTTTGGTATTATGAGTTTTTAGACATGGGCAGCGACCTCTTTTTGTTTTTCCCCTTCTTCCCTCTTTTCTTCTCTCTCTCTCTCTTTCCTCTCTCCTTTTACAAAATGCACTGGGTTTTGGAGTTCCTTTTAGGTACGGATGGGGGCTGCATTTTATTCACAAGATCACGAGTGTCACACATGGAGGAGTTTTCTTTGGTGGATAATAGTCTGCTTCACCTTGGAGGGACTGGTGATGTACTTGGCTTGGGCATTTACCTGCACGCGTGCTGTGTTTCTCTGTCCTCTTCCTATCCTCTGTCTCCAGAGATGTGCTTGAATGGCAGCGAGCTCAATGAATGCTCTGCGATTCAAAGTCTATATATCTTACAAATACACGACATTTGATCAAAGCCGGTTTTGTGTAATGTGCTCTCGTGATGTTGCTAAACTGACTGAGTAGTTCAACAAGAATAAAAAAAGAAGCAAAAAAGGTTCCAGAGGGAGTCGAACCCTCGCTGGCGGAATCAGAATCCGCAGTCATAACCGTTAGACCATGGAACCGATTGAAGCGGTGATCCACTTCCCATGGTTTGGAGATGTTGAGACGGAGCTCGAATTGAAGACCTTGAAGCTTTTGCGTATGAGCCACTGTGGCTCAGCAGTCGCTGGGCAAGCCACAGGTACTAGATACCTTGAGCTGCCCCGCCAAGTGACCTCGAGCTTGGAGATTGTCTTCCATGCTGCCATTTCCGTCGGCATCACTTCACATGCGGCCTCGATTTCAACTTTGACTCAAACAAAGCCCACGTGTCCAGTAGCTGCTCTGGGATACGACAACAAGCAGCAATTCGGTCCCCCCTAGCAAAATCAAGAATCGCATCAATTGAACAAGCGCCTCATACCTGATTGCGCACAGAAAGACGTCGATTCCCCCCCATATCCAAGTTGGCTCTTCCAAAAAGCCCAGCTCGAGCAGGCACACGCACATAAAGACATGACAAGCTCGATCCCGCAGTCGCCGACCGACGACGAAAACAAGTCGTTTGACCTCAACCTGCAGCACGGCCACAGAGACCTGGTGCAGGCGATTGCGTTCAACGCTTACGGCGACCGGTGCGCGACGGGGTCAGTGGATGGCAAGATTCGGGTGTTCAACCGGCATCGGGATGGGACGTGGAGGTTGTGCGATACGTGGAGCGCGCATGGGGGCGAAGTTGTCGAGGTTTGTCTATGTCTATCTGTCCGATTTATCATTACAGAATGTTGACACCTGAGATCTTGGGTACTGCTACAGCTGCAATGGCTCCCGTCTACGATATATCCCAACCTCGTCGCCTCTCTCGGCATAGAAGGCTGGTTCCGTCTCTGGGCCGAGAACCCTTCGGCCGCTCCCGGGCGCCGCTTCTGCGCTGCGCGGTCGGTCAATGGCCGGCCTGCCTTTGACACGCGGTCGACGCGGGCGCCGTACCGGTCCTTTTCTATGAAGCACAACGAGGAGACGCGGCAGACGTACCTGGCGCTGCTGGCGACGGACGGGCGGCTGACCGTGTACGAAAACGACCAGCCCGAGAACCTGGCCGAGTACACGTCGATTGACGAGTTCAGCATCTGCCCGCGGCCTGGGCGCGGCGACGAGGTGGCCTTCAAGGTGCGCTTCGACCCGAACCCGGAGCCGTGCTACGCGGCGCTCAGGGCCGGCGTGCAGTCCGACTCGCTGGGCCTGGTGGTGGCGGGCATGACCTCGGTCAAGGTGTACCGCACGCGGGAGATTGCGTCGTCCAATTTCGGCGCCAACACGCTGCAGAAGGAGTTTTACCTGGCCGTCGAGATCGAGGGCCACCGCGGGCTCGTCAGGGACGTGGCCTGGGCGCCGGGCAACATCAGGGGCTACGACATGATCGCCACGGCCTGCCAGGACGGCTACGCGCGCGTCTTCCGCATCGACACGCCCTACTCCGACAGCGACGGCAAGTCGTGGTCCGCAGCCCACCTCCTCAAGCCCGACAGCCGCGCGCCCAACAAGGATACATCATCATCAAAGGACGACAGCAACAGCAACAGCAACAGCAACACGCCCGGCACGAGCACAAACAACCGCCTCCAGCACCACCACCAGCCGTCGTCCACGCTCAGCGCCAGCCTCGCAAAGTCGAGCGCCGTCACCGAGCGCGCGTGGACCGGCCAGCCGGGCCAGATCAAGCATGTCGCCCGTGAGATGTCGCGGCTCGACTCCCACCGCACGCCCGTCTGGCGCGTGGGCTTCGACGACGACGGCCAGATCCTGGGCAGCACGGGCGACGACGGGCGGCTGCTGTGCTATCGGCAGACGCCGGACGGGCAGTGGTCCAAGAGCTCGGAGCTGGTCATGATGAAGACGAGGATGGCGACGCCTTGATGGCTTTGATGGTGCATGAGATTTGGGATTTGAGTATACAGTGCTCCGTATAAGCGCCCGAAATGAGTTGTCCGTTTTGTTAATGTACGAGTAAAGTTTCTCTCCGCATGGACTACTATATTTCTATGGCGCACTGTGGCTGATAATACCGTGCGCAGCTTCTAAGCAGGTCGTACGAGTATCTGTTATAATGCAAAAAGAGAATTATCTTCCAAAAAGCCATTGAGGTGTATATCTCAACAGTACCCTCACCGAAGGCCATACAGCAACAAAAATCGACCTGTTTATGGCACCAAGAGGCGCCCAGAACAGTCTCTTGTCAGCGCTTCCGTCGGAGACACATTAGATCAGCTGTCTTGTCCAACATGTATTTCTGTCGTCCGAGATTCCACTTCGCAATGACAGCCAAGGCAACCAGACCTATTCCGACGCCGTGCTGACTCACACACAATTCGTTCTGGGCATCTCACGGCCTACGTAAAACTGCCCCAGGCTGTTTTTTCATTTGAACCGACTTTGAACAAATATCATCGCCAATTGAGTAGCCGAAGGACAGTTTTTTGCGGAATTGTTGGACTTCAATTAGACGTGTGAGTTTTTTCAGCATCAGTGAGACATGGCAGTCTTGGTCGTGTGAGGGAAAGGGGTCAGGCCAACTTCAATTCAACCCATTTCTTAGAATAATACATGTAATAATGAATACCTGAACTACTCTACAGAGAAGCTATTGGAAGGACTTCCGCCAAAAGGTGATGTGACGTCTGTTGCAAGCTCAACCAATAATTTCCCGCACCAACCTCTCAACGTCGTCAACGCTCATTCCTGAAATCCCGAGCAGCTTATTGCCAACTTTGTCACTGAAATCACCTCCATATCCTGCGCCCCAGCACGCCCGGGCGATAAACCCGAGCGCCGATTTCCCGACCTCCTCCGAGTCGTTGCTCTTCAGCATCTCATGAGATTCTTCTTCCATCTCAGCAGTCGAGACGACATTCGTCGACCACTCTTTTCCATCGATGCGCTTCGCAATGTCAATGAGCTGGTTCTGCGTAATGGCGATATCGTGGAAGTAGACGTGTTGATTTCTCGTGGCTTCGGCATTTTGAATCACGCCAACCACGGCCTTGCCAATGGTAGAAAGTCGAGTCGCGGAGAACAAAACATCGCCACCGTCATATAGCGTAGCACTGTGGTCCTTGAGATTGACCATGAAGCCGATTCGGAGCTGCCAGTCCAAGAAAGAGTTGCTATAACAAAAGGTGTAGCTGAAACCTGGGTTCTGAGCAGCTTTTCCCTCCAAGTACTCTTGGGTCTTAATTTTGTCCGCATACAGCGGCAGCTTTCGGACGAGAGGGTTTGCCGAATCGTTTCCAAACTCGGAAGGGATGAAGCGAGAGACTCTGGCCTCCAGAGAAGCGTCGATGAGCTTCTTCTGTGTGCTAAACAGGTCTGCAAAGCCGAGAGTGGACACGACCACGTCGACAGTTTTGAGCGCGGAGGCGAGGTTTTCGTGCGAGTTGTAATCTACCTCTTGGATCTTCAATAGGCTTTCCGATCCGGCTGGTATGGAGACCTTGTGGGCGCTCCCTGCTCTTGTTAGGACGGTAGTTTGGAGCGAGGCCGCGAGGAGTGCTTGCAGGATCGCTGGGCCGAGGTTTCCCGTAGCGCCGGCGAGAGCGATATGTAGTGAAGGCATGTTGTCGACGGGTGTTGCCAAGATTTGGAAGAGAGTGGCAAGGAGTGATATTGTAACCGTTCAGAAAACTTGGCGAAGAAAGTGATGATGCTGAGGTCAATCATGTCTCAGAGACAGAAATTGCGGCCCTTTAATACTTGGTTGACGCAGCCTCCACACAATTGTGCAACTCAGTTATCTTGCAGTCCAGGAGAGAAATCAGCCAATCAGAGACAATAATGTCCCGTGGTTAGTAGGCACTACATTCTGGTCTGGCGGCAGATGAGAATCCCGGAAATTGCATAATCAAAGGCCTTCTGTTTACAAATCACGACAAAGTCAAGGTTTTGAGCATCTCCACGCCAGTCGGGCGAATCAATCAAAGCTAGTGTGTTTAATATCTCATTCTTCACAGAAATCAAAGCCAAGGAGTTCGTCTTGGCGGTTCGGATTCTCTCGGCAGTTGATGTTGAAAGGAGGTTGTTGACAGAAATCCGCATTCGGCTATCGAAGAAAGTAAATTCCTCTTCGGGAAGGTGGAGTTTTCGGCTGCGGAGTTTTGTGGAGATAAACAAGTATTCGCCCCACCTATGCATTTCTAATTGGATACCTTATCGTTGGTGGCTTAGTAACAGGTACTGCATCATTTCAAGGGTCTTGTCTTAGTGACTGGTGAACACCACAAGATAATGCCTTGATACAAGGAGTCTACTTGAAATCTTGTTGATTATAAAGTCCCCAAAGCTCCCATATTCATATTCAAACATCATGCTGGTAAATCACTTCTCGTTCCATCTACTAGATACCAATCACCAGAATACCAACAATGGCGTCCCGCTTCCCTTCAGCTAGTCAAGATGTTTCACCACTATCACAACCGCTACTCTTCAAGTTCAGCCAGAGGACAGCATCCAATCGATTCCTAAAAGCCTCAATGACCGAGAAGCTCAGTTCCTGGGATTCTCAGAAGAAAGAGGCCCGGGGTATTCCCTCATCAGAGATACACAACGTCTTGGTCGGGTGGTTGCACAGGAGTTTAGTCTGAGTAAAGACATGCTGAATGGTAACGTCACTGGTGCCATTGACCCAAAGGTAGATCAAAACGACTTTGCTTTGACCAACATCATTGCGGGCAGCCAGATTCGGCAAGTGGGTTAGGGGCAAGACCCGATTGACATGAGCCGAGGAGAAAATGTGCAGATATTTCTCAAGGCGATGGGCACCTGGGCTCAACGGATGGCCGGAGATGCCCAGACAATGAATCTGTACGGCTACGTTGACTTGGACTTGTAGATAGAAACTTGCTCCTTATTATTCTGTTTAGAAGAACTCTGACGCATGTTTAAACCTGGTTCGGATCCTGATGATTCTCCCAGTGTCTCTTCCAGGCAGCAAGAGACTTCTCATCCCATAGGTATCGCTTGACTATCCTCTCAACGTCAGTCCAACCACCAATCCACCTCTCCTGGCGTACCAAAACCAGCAATAACTGACGAGCACGCTGCTTAAGCGTTGCACCAGCCGTAATCGCAATCTCAGTTCCAACAAGCGTTGCCCAGACCCTCAACTCACGGTGGCACAAGGCCCCTCCCTCGCTAAAAGATGGCATCTGGCTCCCCAGCATCGCCAACCTGTCGATATACGCTACTTCAGGCAACATTTGCATCTGTGCCGTGCGCCGTGTGAGGAACGCAACTGTGCCTAAACAGGCCAGTCGTTCCACCGCGTTCTGCGACCGGTTAGCCAACAGACTTCCCTTGGTTTGGCGTTCCGCAGACTGAGTAGTGCTGTCGCGCCGTTGAGACTGCTCTCCGAGAAGCAAGATGAGATCAACGCTGAGGTTCCCCGACATGGCCAAGTCACGGAAGCCCTCTGGTAAGGCATCAATCGCGGACTGCAACGACCGACCGAGCTGGATAGTTGGCCGAGGGTATCGAAGTGCCGTCGTCGCCGTAACAGAAGCGCCATCAGCCTGCTTATTGCTGGATGGTTGATGACTTGCTTGAGCAATGTCGTGCTTGAGACCAGATGCCATTTCCGTGCCCTCAACCAGCCCAACCGCCTGCATAACATAGAGATCCTTCAAGCAACCACTCGCAACCTGACTCCTCAGCTGCATCATCCGAAGCAACCCGAGGCAATGAGCCTTAAACTCAGGTTCATAACCAAACCTCGCCGCCCCCTCCATCAAGTAGAAAGTCGCCAGGATGGTCTCGTTCGCCGTCCAAGTGGCTACTTTGTCTTCCGTCTCCGTCGATATCTTTGCTTGCAGCGCCCTCAGCGCTCGCGCCTTGTGCCACAACACGGTGGCACTGGGTGTGAGTTTGTCTTCCAGCGTAGTGATGCGTACGCCGTGCGTGAAGGCGGCCACCGAGTCGAAAAGCGCGGCATCGCCACAGACCGTTTGCGCCCGGCAGCGGATGAAGGGGTTGGCGCCGGGACCCCAGTGCGTCAAACGAGCGGCAAGATAGTGGATGTCTGCCAATAGTTTTGTTTTAGTAACTGGTGTAGTAGAATAAGAATATACATGTAACCCTAGGTAGGTACTAGGTAGAGACAAACATCTGAGAGACAAGGGTACAACTTACGGAAATCAATCACATCAAAGACCTTTTCCCGATGCTCAGTCGGATAAGTTGGAACCCAAAACTCCATTACCGGCCGCAGTAATACAATGCTATTTTCAATATTGGAACCCGGGGACTCTGGAGCTTCTGGCCCAGCATCCTGTTCTATAGAGTGCCTGTCGCCTTCATCACTCCAACGAACAAACCGTGACCCCCGGATGACAAGCCGACCCTGAGCCTCTACCCAAGGGCCTAGTGACTGCGCAAGTCCACGTAGCCTCGAGTTTTCACTTCCGTTGGGGGGTTGCTGTGCTCGTCTTGCAGGGGGCCGAACGGTTCCGGAAGTGTCTTCCAATGTACGCAGACACTGCTTGGCGATGCGTGCGGTTTGGCCGGGGATCAGATGGGTCATAGTTTATGAAAAGCCTTTCGTCCATGGTAGGTTGGTGCTGGAGGTTTTCACCTACTTTGAATTGCAAATAAATCGCAACCTTCACTCTGGCTTACACTTGTACAGCAGCGCCTGAAATACATGCTGACTCTGTGCTAGAGGGTTGAAATCAAGTTAAGCTTGGGTACAGTAGAACTATATACATCCTGAGAGCTTCGTCCGTGTTTAAATATCCAGGTATGTACTAGATATCTTTATCAGCTTACTTACAAATTGAAAGTTACAATGTAGCAGAAGTGGCAAACGGTCTAAGACAAGCCGTCCATTAGTAATGCTGATGGGAGGATATTGGCACTGTACTAGCTACAGCTTCGTAAGGTGGATTAAATGGGCTGACATGGAGTTTTTGTTTTGAACGTTACGGCAAATGCAGGCCTCAGTGTTTGATTTTTGACAAGTCACGGCTTTCACGAGAGTCTTTTTCATCGTCTTTCAAGTAAGACGAAACATGTATATATAATTGTATATATCATCATCATTGAGAGTAGTCTTCTCCCCACATCCCCCCGTCGCTCAAGTGGAATGAATCTAGCCTTCCCTTTCTTTCTCTTCATTCTGTTTAAATACAAACGCCCCCATGTCCGGCCTTCAGCAGGCCCCTTGGAAGAAAAAAAAACACAAAATGTCCCCCCTTTCAAACGCCAATTCGTGATGGTTTGTTTTCTGTCTTGTTCAAAAAGCCTGAGATGGGATGCAGCCATCACATGCTAATTGGTTCGGGGAGCTTTCCCCAATCTACCCCACACACCGCTTCTTTCTCCTCACACGACTTTCTTTCCCCAGCTTGGGAAAAACTCCATTCGTCTTCCTTTAAGACTTGTAAAGAACAAAAGAAAAAGTCAACGACGACAACTGATTTAGGCAGCGTCGGCGCTGGCAATGGGCTGGGCGACCTTGGTGACCTGGGCGCCAGCACGGACGATGCGCTGACCGGCAGAGTCGTTGATGTAGGTGACGTCCTTGTTCTCGAACTGAGCGCGCTTCCAGATCTCGACCTCGCAGCCGCCTCGGAGGACACCGACACGCATAGTGGACAGCAGGTTGTGGGCGGCGTTGGAGTGGTTGTAGACACCGCCGTTGAAGATGGCCGTGGCGTCCTTGCCGATGGCGGAGGAAATCAGGGCCTTGCCACCGGGATGGTCGCGGATGAAGTTGCCGACGTCGTGGATAACACCAGCAATGGCCACGAGGGCCTTTCCGTTCTTGGAGTCGGAGACGAAGTCGTCCCAGTCGACGACGGGGAGCTGCTCAAGGGGAGTGCCCCAGTCGAGGGTGGCACGCTTCTGGTCGAGCTTCTTCTGGAGCTGCTGGACACGGCCCTTTTCGATCTCGTTGGCGCGGAACTGCTTGAGGTCGTAGGCCAGGCCAGTCCACTTCCACAGGACAATCATCCACTTGGTAGGGTCGTACTGCCACCACTCAATGGCGTTTCGGTAGTCGGCCGGGAACTCGTGGTGGAAGTTGTGGTAGCCCTCGCCGAGGGTGACGAGCGCGGTGATGACGTGGTCACGGGGTGAGTTGCGGTCGTCAAAGGGCTGGTCGCCGAGCCAGTGGGCCAGGGAGTTGACGCAGAAGGTGGCCTGCTGGACGAAGCAGATGCGCAGGATGCCGGCGTAGACGAAGCCACCCAGCCAGTCGTCGAACATGAGGCCACAGAAGACGGTGGGGAAGATGAGGCCCATGAAGATGACGCACTTGAGGTAGTTGCGGTGCTGCCAGACGACGATGCTGTCCTCGTTGAGGTCGCTAATGTCGCAGCGGCCGATGCGCTTGGGGTTCTGCTTCAATAGCATCCAGCCCATGTGAGAGTACATGAGGCCCTTGCGGACGGAGTAGGGGTCCTTGTCGGTGTCTGTGTATCGGTGGTGGGAGCGGTGGCCCCTTGACCACCAGCGGATGGAGCCCTCGACGGCACCAGCTCCCACGGCGGCGAGGTAGATTCTCAGAGGGAGAGTGGCCTTGTATGAGGAGTGAGCCCAGAGACGGTGGTAGCCTGTTTTTGAAGGAGAAGTTCATGTAAGTAAAGCCGAGCTCGAATTGATATCGATGATGGACCGTTTTCACTTACCAGCTGTGATGCCCATACCAGTGTTGAAGTAGTAGATGACGGAGAAGATGGCGGTGGAGAGCTGCAGAGGCACCCAGTAGGCGGAGACGAAGCCGGCCAGCGGGACGAAGACGATGAAGATGGCGTTGAGCCAGTTGATGTGCTTGTACCAGTTGCCCCAGGTCATGGGCAGGTCGGAAATGTGCACCTTCTTGGGGTCATACTTGGCGTTGGACCGCAGAGGAACATAATCGGTTGTGCCATCTGGGAACGCTGCCGCCTGGACCTTTGCGGCCGAGGCTGTGGGTTCGGACATGTTGAACGACGTCCTCTGGGATTCCCTTCCGTGTGGAAGAAGAGGAATACCAACGTGAAGATGTGGAGTGGAGGTTGGAAACAAAGAGAGGAGAACGGGAGAAGCAGAAGAAGAGAGAAGAGGCTTTGTTTTAAAAAGCGTCGAGTCTCGGAGGAAGGGAGGACAAGGGGAGCTATCGAGAGGGGCGGAGGGGAGGATGGGGTGTGTGAGGAGCAAAAAAATGGACGATGTGAGTGAAGCCTGTCGCTTCTGATATCAGATTCCGAGGAGGGGGGTTTGATCAACAAGGATGGAGGGGGGGGGGTCCGAGATCAAATCAGCCCAGATCAAGCCTGAAAGTCCCGGATATCCTGAGGCGGAGAAGAGCAGAGAAACGAGACTAACAAACGACGTGCAGAAACGAGACCATTTGGTTAGCTGTCGTCTTCTTCTTTTTTTTTTTTGCCCCTGGTGGAGAAGTTGAGGTGGGAGAAAAAGAAGAGGCCTGGAGAGAGGGCAGATTCGAGCGGTAGGCTGTACGCGCCGCCACCGCGGCCAATGGCGGGCCGACCGGTGTACCTGCTACCGATGGCTGTACAGTACATACGGACGGAGCACGAGTACCGAGCGCGGTTTGTTGGATTTGATCTTTTTGCTCCTTGGTTGAGGATCAATGGTCATCTTGCAGGCTGCAGTGCGACCAGGTCCAGGTTCCAGGTCCAGGTCCAGGTCTAGGTACAAGTACAAGTACAGGTACAGGTACCCAGGCGGCGCCGCACGGTTTCCCGCTCGCCGCAACTGTACTCGCACTGCAGTACAGACGAGTCGTTGATTGAAACAGTTGGGGAAGAAAAAAAGTCACATCGCATCAGCCCATGGCTGCTTGTGCAAGCCGCCCAACAGGCTGCACAACAAACACTCAAAAGTCTGAGTCGTTCGCCCCAAAGCTCTTTCATCAGCAGATATACAATTCATTCTGGCCTGACATTTATTCTCCCTCTCTCTCCCTTCTCCCATCGTCAGTGTCCTCAAAGAAACTCGCAATGTCATCCATGTACACATACAAGCTCGATCTCGAATCCATCCCATCCAACAACTCCCCTAGTACAGGTACAAATTCGCCAATCCCTCGTCAGTGGCTACAAAATCCCTGGCACCGTCCGGGTTGAGCGACACGCCATCCCCCGCAGCCAATCACCGCTCGCCGAATCGGGGACCTTGCTCAACCTTTTCTTCTTTTTGCATGTCTCTCTTGCAAGAAAAAAAAAATCTTCCCCAACAACTTTTTGGGGGGGCAGCGTGCTACTGTACCGCTACCAGCGCTAGGTTGCCTTCCCGCCCCAGATAGAAGACCCCACTCAACTGGGTTCGATTTCAGTGTATCCGCCGCATATGGCAACTTCAGTTGTTTGCAATTTTTCTCGATGGGGCGTGAAACGGGACGACGGATCAAGCCTGTCGTCCGCTTGTGGCTGGCTGGTGTTACTTTTGCGCGAAGCATGTTCAGACTTTTGAATGAAAGGGATAGAGCGGTGATTAGGGAGAGAAATGCTGCTGAAAATCGCAAGTTACTGCGTGGTGATGCATTAATTCAGTCAGCTCGGTTGCATACCTAGGTATGATAACGACGATATCATGGACTTTCAGCTTGCAACGAGACCAATCAACTCGCCCGCATCAAATTCATCCAACGACAACAACAACAACAACAATGCACATAGACAGCACCTATTACGTGTACGCGTACTCTATACAATCTACAAGCATCGCCGTGCATTCAAACTTACTTAGTCCATAGAATCCATCAAGATAGATAACCGCCTCACCTCCAAAACTCACATCCCCAGCCCAAAATCTACCGAATAGCCTATCCATCTCAATACTCCGTACACATTTCACGTTTCAATCAAAACATGCCTCGGCTCCAAGCAAAAAACAAATCAAAAAAAAAAATGAAAACCCCCGTGCAGCTTTTCTGCAGTTCACGTAACTTCGTACACACACCCCCAAGCTAATCAGATCCCCCCCGCCCCATAATCCCCAACAGAAAATGGCCCCGTCCTTCCCGGCTGCCGAGCTTCATCCGCATTAGACGGGGTAAATGCTACGGAATACATGCAGGCGATAGGTACGTACCTTTTTCTTTCTTCCTCCCGAGTCCCCAAGGGAAAAAAAAAAGTCCCGAAGAAAAAAGCTTGCGCCACTTTGCGCCACTGGTATGGAACCCTTTGTAACGTGCGCACCGCCACATTAGGTGTTGCAGCTTTTTTTGACATGCAGCCACCACGGTGTGTCGTGGGATTCCAAGGGCATTCTGGAATATTGCCTTGTTGGGAAATTTGCTAGCCATGGCTCTTCGTTGATGTGACGTATCTGCTCAGCTTTGCTCTGATACCTACTCCAACACTTGACACTCCAAAGAAACAATCATCTTTACTACTAGGTAGTCTACTAGTCATCTAAATCAAAGTCACGTACAACACATCCAGTTGAAAAAAAAAATATAATGTTCATATTCAATTGTCGCTTGCTTATTGCTTGTTTGCATGCTCGCTCGCTTGCTTGTCTGTCTGTTTTGTCTGTACCAAAACCAAGGTAAAGTCATATCTCATATCCGTC